TAGTTCTCCCTTAAGGCCGTCACCCTGGGCCTCCAGGGCAGCTATCCCCTCCTCCATCCTCGTCTTAGCATTCTCCACCGACTGCTGGGCATCCTCAAGACTCTGGTGAAAGAACACCTCCCCAATCTGATACGTGATGCAGAGAGTCAAGGTGAAAACATGGAAATTGTGTGTGTGTGTGTGTGTGTGTACTGGGTTTTTACAGACGTGTATCAATCAGATATGATTATTTACGTCTGGGGACCGACCTTTAAACGTCACCATCCAAAAGACGTGAGTCAGTTTCGAACCTGAATAAGTTTGTAACTTCCATTGTTAGCTGGATTACTTGTCTTGTGTATTCTTTTTACAAGAGCCATTTTTTGTTTACATTGTCTGAGAACTAACCATTTGAATACAAGTGGTAATGACTAACTTAAGAAATAAGCTTAACAGAAAACTAGCAACAACAATAACAACCAAAAAAATAGGAGAAGAAAACAACATAAATTCAAAACAGCTCAAGACTCTCCAAAACCAACCATTTGCACGCAAGTGTCAAGGGTTTTAACTTTAGAAATAAGCATAACAGAGAACTAGCCGAAAATTTAAAAACTAAAAAAACTAAAATATAACAAATTTGAAACAGCTGAAAACGGTTCAAGTTTTAGTATTCCTCATAAAATGTAATCCCTGTTATATTGGTATTTTTCCACAATTTCTCACAGAGCAAAGTCTTAAGGTCATAAAGGTCACCCCCAACCCCCCCCCCCCCCACCCAAGAAAAAAATATATAGTTATTCCATATTATATTCATTTATTATTTATAGTTTAAAAGAAAATGTAAAATGACTGTTATTTGCAAATAGCTAAAAGAGTAATGCCTAAAATCATCTGTCTACATCAGAAAGAAAAAAAAAACGGCATTATTTTTCAGGCTTAATTCGTTTGAAATTACCAATACTTTTTACAAGAGTAAGACAAAAGTGTTGAAAGGATATGGTATGAAGTCATCATCGTCTCCCAGGACTAATTCATCGGCTGCATCCTCCAGGTTTTGAAGATCTTTCTAAAATAATCAATTAAGAGAGGAAACAAAATTAAAAATAATATTCAACAATATAACAGACACGATACTTCATGTTTGAAAGAGAGAGAAAGAGGGAGAGGAAGGGAGAGAGAGAGAGGGAGGGAGGGAGGGAGGGAGGGAGGGAGGGAGGGAGGGAGGGAGGGAGGGAGGGAGGGTGGGAGGGAGGGAGGGAGGGAGAGGGAGAGAGAGGGAGAGAAAGAAAGAGAGAGAGAGAGAGAGAGATCGCCTGACAGGCATACAAACACAGACTGAGACATACATACGCAAAGAGAGAAATGTTTGTTACTTATGAGCAAGGAAACAGATTGTAGGAAGCTACATTTTGAATACAAACTATGGCAAAAAATATTTTTTAAAGGCACCCAATGTAATATCCTAATATCTTCATTTATAAGAAAAACACACTCTGGCTTACAATCCTTGTTCATGATAATCAGGGGCTCGTTCCTAGAAACCAACGACAAGACAGTCATAACTTTATCCACCAACTACGGACATGTCTCTGATCTTCCTAAACCGTTTCACGAAGAGCTTACTAGATAGATATCTCGTGAGATCGATACTATCGGCGAGAAGAGGAGCCACGACTTAGCCTTAGTCGCAATACCACCGGATTATTACAAAAGTAATATTAGGGAAAATGCAATTATTTAAATGAATTAGTAATAAAAAAGATTGAAAATGATACCAAGAAATAAGAGATGCAATATACTTCCAAATTTGTGTAGATTATACAACAGAAGTACTTGTAAAGTATAATTGTGAGCAGTGGCGGATCCAGGGGGGGGGGGGGCCCGGGGGGCCCGGCCCCCCCCCCCCCCTTGAGAAAAAAATCATGCAAAATCACGCGATTTTTACCTTTTTGGGAGGTTGGGCCCCCCCCCTGGCGCTCAAGGGGGGGGGTGCAAATTTTAAAATTTTCGAGGACCCCCCCAAAAAAAATGTGCTCACTACCCCCCCCCCCCCCCTCCCCCCACTGAGCGACTTTTCGGCCGGTGCGATTTTCAAATTTTCGGGAGCAAAAAAAAAAAAAAGTTGGGCCCCCTCCCCTAAGAAATCCTGGATCCGCGCCTGATTGTGAGTATTTCATTACATGACCGGTGAATCAGTTTTGTTCTTGAGATGGGTACCCCCCGGATATTTACATTTGATAGTTTATCTACACCAATATATTATTTTTAGAAAAATATGATGTAATGAAATTTGTGTCCAATGTTTTAGGTGTCAGTTGAATAATCAAATGACAAAACTTCAACATTCTAAATGTTAAAACACATGTTTTAAACTATTCATTTTACACATTTGAAGATAGAATTTATCTCGAAAGCAATATGGGTCTGAAAACTAAAGAATACACTTCAAACTATGGCTTGCCTGTCGTGGCAGATTATCCTTCCCTTCAAGGATTTTACAATATCGAAAAAAACGTGTATAATCAGTTTATAACAGTGGAAAAAGCCTGAGATATAGTCATGGCATATTTCCAAAAGATTTTCTGATATAAAGAAATGATAACTTCCTGTTTAAGTGAATGTGTAGAAAGATCATAGCTGGAGGATTTATTGTCCTTTCTTGCTAGCCATAGTCTACCCAATAAATGACATGTGATGGCGCTGCCTATCGACTAAATAGTTATGACAGAGATATGACGGTGTTGAAGGCGTCATAACTCCTTAGTCAGGAAGATGTCCTTGATGTTACCAAAGAGGGCTTCGTGAAACACGTAGCGGACAAGTTGCTCACTAACGCTGATTTAGTCAAGAAGTTACTTATGACGGTTTCTAGGAACGGGCCCCAGGCATGTATATAATATGCCCTGTTCAAAAATTTTCATCCAAACTTTAGTTGGAATAAAAAAAGATCTTAAGGCATATGATATACTAGACCGAAAGCTTCAGTCTCTATACCGTTGGTTGTTCCACTGAGACTACGTCTGGCTCCACTAGACCTCCGGTTATAGAGACTGAACGATCGCCTATGCCAGCCTATGTTGAAGATATCACGGCTAGATTTTAGCTGTTAGGCCCCTCCCACAAAAATGAACAAACTTGCCACGGCCGTATTGTTATGCCCCCAAAATCCCCCAAAATGTCATTTTACCTCGTGCATATCCAATTTTACATTAGGCCTAGGCTATAATACATCGGTTCCACTTACTAACTTGATTGAAATAATCCGTTTAATGGTCCCTTTTAAGGAAATTATGGGTCAAAATCGACATCCATGTTGAAAATCTTGCAAGCCGTGTTAAAATCTCGCTGCCGTCAATCTCATCCCTTCTAGTCTACGCCGAAGGCAAAAATGATTATGAAGGAAAAACTGTGATAACGCCATTACGAACGTGTAGATGGCGCACAGTTTTTCCTTCATAATCATTTTGCCTTCGGCGTAGACTAGAAGGGATGAGATTGACGGCAGCGAGAGTTTAACACGGCTTGCAAGATTTTCAACATGGATGTCGATTTTGACCCATAATTTCCTTAAAAGGGACCATTAAACGGATTATTTCAATCAAGTTAGTAAGTGGAACCGATGTATTATAGCCTAGGCCTAATGTAAAATTGGATATGCACGAGGTAAAATGACATTTTGGGGGATTTTGGGGGCATAACAATACGGCCGTGGCAAGTTTGTTCATGTTTGTGGGAGGGGCCTAACGGCTAAAATCTAGCCGTGATATCTTCAACATAGGCTGGCATAGGCGATCGTTCTGTCTCTATAACCGGAGGTCTAGTGGAGCCAGACGTAGTCTCAGTGGAACAACCGACGGTATAGAGACTGAAGCTTTCGGTCTAATGATATACATGTTTGTATCATGGCAATTCCCAATTACCTTTTTGTTTGTGATTTCATCCTGAATTTCTCCAAGTTTATTGCTTTTCCTTGCAAACTTGTTGATCTTCTGTTGATCTTCAAGTGTGACATTCACATCATCATCCTGCAAATATAAAAATTATATTACATGAATTAAATGTAGGTTTATGGAAATCAGGGCAAAGGCGACTTGGTAACGATATATTAAAGTTATTTTTCTTGGGTTCGGATATCATTCCTTACAGGGCTTACAGGGTTACAGGCTTCTAGAGAACAATAAAATCATGGTAATTTCTTTCTGACGCAGGCTAGGATTTGTATAAACTGTTATAGGCTTTATCTAAGTTACATCCTCATGCTAAAATTTGAGATAGAGATCATGGAGATACACCTTATTATCTAATTCATGAGGTTGGTCCCTAGCCCTGTCGAATGATTAAATCTAATGATGATGATAAATTGATGGTGGTGGAGAAGATCAAAAGTAAGTACATGCAGTAAATATATATGTTTATATCTTACAGAACAACTTCTAGAATATGACCTTTAAAATTCAAAGTGAACCAGCAGTATTGCGGTAAGGCGCAGCAGTAACATAATAACCATGTTAACAAGTAATAATGGTAAAAACATTGCGATTGTTGAACTTGGTTGGTTCATGAAGAAAACTGCCTAATTTTTGTATGAAATTTCACTTATTAATTAAAATTTATATTCTTTCTACTTCCCGTATTTTGATGAAAGGCCATCTTAGATAATAAAACCGCTCAGCTCATCCATCCAATAAATTCAAGAAGACCACATTTCACAAACAAAATGATAAACGTATGGGACTGTTCTGACATTATTAGATCTAGAGTTCTACCTATTTTGCATTTCTGCAACCGTCAAGACATATCAAATCATTTTTTAAATTGGTGATAGATAATTGTGAATATACTTACACCACCACCCGTTGCTTTCTTCATTGACAAAGCCATAACTCAATCCTTGTTAGAAAAACAAATTTCACACCTAAAAAGTCAGCTCTTCTTCTTTTCTTCTTTTTCACCAACAGATGGCTCCCTTCAGAAATTCATTCACGATATGTACTGTGCGGTCGTAAATAATCCGAGTGGGATCTATTGCTCTTGTGTTATGAAGCTATAAATAATTCCTCGACATACGACAGTGAAGCGCTATCCTCGTATTGAATAACTTATGGCTCTACATGAGTCATATTTTGACCCTAGAGTTTGGGCCAAGATCAATGGGAATTTCCGCTAAGCATGCAGCGAATATAAATGCAGATTAGACTCGACTGCGCCACAACGCCTGTGTGTACTGCACTGTGAATGCCTTGAAATTGTGACGGACTCAAGCTACTAATCGAAAGAAGAAGAAGAGGAAAAATATCCATATTTCATCTATTTGAGCTAAATCTGATAATGTGAGTTTTTAAGACTCTTTGCATGTTTTTTGGTTGATTTTAAACAGAAATTACAGAGACAAACTTGTGAAACGGAGGTTCGTGCAAATTCGTTATGTGTGGCTGTGAGTGTAAGTTGTTGCATTTGTGACTGCGTGCTGAATCATGTGTGTAAATGAATGAATGGAATCATTTCAAGTCTTTTTCGACTGTGTTGAACTGAGTGAAGATCATCTGTCTTTGCTGATACATAGGTTAATAATAATAATAGTGGCTAGATCTACTTGTATAGCGCACAGATCCACCTTTCGGTGCTCATGGCGCTTAGAGAAAAGGACATGTAACACTAACAGACATAAGAAAGAAAAAACACAATAAACCGAAAAACAAAATTCGAAATTCTCCTAGAGGGTCTAAATCTAGACATGGTAAATTAAAATATTACAATATTTACAACGAAATGAACAAATAAGTTTTCAGTTGTTACTTATAGGCCTAGGGATTTCTGTAGTCATACTCAGTCTCAGACTATACTCAGATCATCTTAGTAGAATTTAGGGCATTTAATTCTGAAAACGAGTAGTGTCTTAGTGACTGTGTTAATCTCTGAAATGAATTGGCATGAGAATTGATAATCAGTGGTGCTAGTCCGAGAATAAGGATCGTCGTCATGAACGAGGATCGTCATTTTAGATGCGTCCGCATAAATAATGATCGGCCGCATTTTCGGCTTCTTCTTCTAATTCTTCTTCTTCTTCGCTATAAGTACAGGCCACCGTCGGGTGTATTCTCGTACTGATTGTAGGTGCTGTGCAGGTGTATATATACAGAACAGATTTTGCGATGATTTTCTTGATGCATTTTACATTGAATTTGTACAGAGACTCATGCTATGAGCGATAAATCCTCGGGAAGACGGTAAACCCATAAAGTAGACAATAAACTGGGGTTATTTTCTTACGCAGAATCTGTTTTTTTGCATCGCGTCACCAGCATGGGTTCAAAAACCTGAAACCCGCAGAGCGCCAATGAAAAAAACCTCCGCAAAAATGCAGACGATCCTTATTTTTAGGACGCAATTTGTCAGCGTTTACAAGAATATCTTTGTTTATGTGGACGATCCTCATTCTTGGACCAGCGCCTCTACTGATATGGTGGTTCCATCGCGCATCGTTGGGTACGTTGGACAAATACAGGGAACTTAATACAGGGCTGTCAACCCTCCCGCATTTGGAGGGAGTCTCACGCCTCCACGCTCATTCTCCTGCCTTCCCATCCACTGGTAGCGGGAGACTCCCGCCACCACGCCCTTTCTCCCGCAATCTCTTATGAAAAAACCTCCCGCTAAACATGTAAAATGAACCAGCGTACCGTATCGTTTGCAATTTTTTTTTTGCTCGATAGGGGGGTGGGGGGGGGGGGGGGGGGTTAGTGAGCACTTCAATTTTTTTTTTACTCAACATCTCCCCCCCCCCCCTCCCCCCGTCGAGCCCCCCCCCCCCCAAAATTGCATATGAATGTGATCTTCCTTGAAGCAGTTTCCCAAAGTTGACAGCCCTGCAAATATGGATATATTTTATAGTAATTAGTATAGTCCAGAGTCCAGACCCAACTATCAATATCATGACTCTTCCAAAATCTGTTTGATGGAGATTATTTGTTAGAATGCGTTTATAAAATGGTCGCTTTTGCCTTCGATAATCTAGTATTTTACGTAAAACAGGGATCGAATCTCACCAACAATAATAAATATTTGTCTCATAATTTATATAACATTTTCTAACATAAGTCCTTAAAAAAATGTATTATATCTCGCATGTACACTACATTCACATTCCCAAAATCTCCAGTAAAGGGATACTTTTTGCTAGTGAGGATGGAAAAATAGCTGCACGCAAAAAACGATCCTACATAGTAGGCATACTCACTTGTGTGTTCAGTTTGCATTTTAAGTATGCTTAAAAAAACCCTGCAGTAATAGTGAGTAAACTGAGTTTTATATGTATTTCAATATTCATGTACATGTACAGTGAAAGATATACTGTATAGTGTGTCCCAAAATACATGAAAACCAACAACAAACAATTATTGTGAACAAACTACTATAAGAATATAGTTCCTTGCTTTTTAGAAATTAGTCATGCTTTAAAAATTAAAATGGTTCAGTGATCATATTAATACATACATGCTTCATGGAGCAACACTGTTTTTGAAGTAGTATGTATGGATAACTCAATCAAAGAATCATTTGAAAGCATACATGTACATGTATGCACCGTACATGTACCTCTACTTTATGAACAGCAAGTAATCATATTAATTATATCAGCTCACATGATGTAGGTTAATGCTACTTAATGCCCACAATAATCATTTGTATTCAGGTTTCATTTTTTTCTGGGGCGCACTGTACATGTACAATGTGCAAACTTTGACATGCTATGGCAAAAGATAGTGGTACGGACTGGTACCACCGTTAACCATAGTAGCATATTCAGGAAACGATCATATTCATCTTTTTTCAAGATGTTTTTCCTCACTATGCTTTTAATTCAGTATACGGTAAGTTTCAGTCAATTCAGTGGATCATGATTGTGCAATGCATGTATATTCAGCACATGTAGATGTACAGTGTTACTTGTTTGTCTCAATTTTATTGTAATATTCTCATTGCTAGTGTAACTCTGACCATGGAATTGTTTTTTTCCCTTCTCTGACTGACTTATTGAAGTGCATATTCACTATATTTCAATGGTTTTTTTTTTCCAGTCGGTCTACTATAGTAGCTCATGTTCAGCATTTTTTCTCCTGACTTTTTCCTTGGATAGTATCGTCTACAAAAACTTATCACAATAATGGGGACATATGACATTTACATGTATTTGTATGTTTTTTTTCCACACATCACAATTTGGTCACAGTGAGGCACTATTTATTTAGGAGACTTACCTTTTTGTAATACAGATGTGATTCATGTACTGTACATGTAGGTCCACATTTCTACCCCAAGATATTATGATTTTGCAATTCATCTCCTTATATTCTATTGAAATATTTGATAATTCATCATTGTTTTTGCACTCATTTTTGTTGGCAAATGAAGAAAGCAAACTATACAGAATGGAGCTCCAGGTTCAGAAGTGAGTACCTTATATCATGAATGAAGAAGAAGAAGGAATAAAAAATAATTTACTAACACCTCCCTCCCAGCTCCCTGCACACTGCATGTTCAAAGCCTCCCACCCCTGGTATGCAGTTTTGATGTTACCATGCTGATTGTATTTCTTATTTTCTTTAAATGTGAAAAAGCTTGAACTTAATTGGTGAATGGTGATTTATTTATTTTTCATTTAAAATACAGGAATATTACTAAATAACAAGTATAAAAAGTAAAATTGCTGATATTGAGTAAAGCTTTGACAAAATGGTTATTTAAGTTTTGAATTTGATTTGGACTTTATTATTAAGTAGCAGAAAGCTAATAATCTTTCAGAATTCAGATTGAGCGATTAAACATATTGTTTAATAGCAAATGCACTTTAAATCCAGTGCAGTCAGTAGGCCTACATGTGTATTTTGTATGCGTGAAAATATATGTACTTTTGTCATGTAAACATCTTTGGGTATTACATGTACATGCCGGAGTTCAGAGTTGGTTGATTGGTATTTTGATTTAAAAAGTATTTGTTTATCACTTTATGGGAAGCAAATCAATTTGAGAGATTATTGAATTGCTTATTGGTAGGAATGGAGAGTGAATAACAATATAGCTGTTATGGATCGAAAAGGATTAGCAGGGTTGTGGTTTTGTTAACATAATCTATTTTTTCTATAAACTGTGGTTTTAGGGTATTTTACATGTTTTCCATCAGTTAAGTGAGGAATCTGTATTTCCCAGAGCTCTATTAGCATGTTTGAATGACCATTAAATGTGTTTGTTGGAATGCAAGATGCTTAAATGTTACATGCAATACTAATATTAATGGATTTGATTGATTTTAAGTTAAGGCTTGTCAGAATTGTTATCTGAATCTTAATGCATGTCCTTGTTTTGTTTAAATGTTTCCTTGTTGGTTTTGTTTTGTCACTGTTTCTTTTGTTTTACTACCTCTGTTTTATTACTGATGAATGCATACAAAATCGGAGCATTGCTGGACCATTTTGAATGGGGGGGGGGGGGGAATCATCAGGGATAACAAATTGACAATCAATTTGCAGACACAATATCTGAAAACTGTCAAACTTACAGGCAAGGAAGAACAAAATGAGGTCCTCAGAAAGGTCACATTTGAAGAAAGAAGATATGAGGGGAAAAAATGGATTTCGATATACATGTACATTGTATTTATTTTTTGTCATTGGATGAAAAGTCTGCCACTGATTTTGGACTGGGAGACAAAGTTTGAATGGGGGCAATCATTTCTCCCCCTTCTCCCCTGCCCCTTCTCTTCTTGTGATGCCTTTGTTGGGAACTAACCTTTAAAAAGTTATGCTCCCTTCTGCTTGCAATATTGATGTTGAGAAAGGACTGAGGCATAGATTAGCGGGGGTGTCTATCGTCTATAGATAGATTGTGAAAAATGTGTTTAGGGGCTCTCACAAAAATGCCAACATGAAGAAAGTGATGCCGTTCATGTCTCCAGAGGAACTCCATATGCTACACTGTTGCAACATGCTCTTCATAAATTATTGACAGAGGTGCATGTGCTGTCTGTCTATGTGTTTGTGCATGTATGATGTTTGTTGGAACCACCATGCAAGGCATATAGAGGGGTTACCACGGCGATGATGATGATGAGGATGAAGGTGCATAATGCTGGGGGATTGTGATGGAGAGGGAGAAGGCCGATACAGGAAGGTGGCACATGTTAATGTACTTTACAGTGACATGTGTTGGGATAGTGTCTGCAATAATTTGATGATCACTAAGCTGATTTTAAAGGAGAGTGGGGAATAGACAACTTCACATAATCATGAATGATATCTGGAGTTCTAAGAGCGAATTTACGAAAGGGAGGAGGGAAGGATAGGGGATGAATCCTGAATGTCATTAGATGTCCATTAGGCTGTTGATAATATTATTGATCAGGGAAGCTACAATCTCACAATAATAATGATATTATAACTTCTAAGTTCTAAGAGTGGATTACCTTAAGTTAGGCTTATACAGGAGGGCAGGGGAAAATAGGGAAAAATGCATGGGATTGAATAGCAATATCATGGACAACACCTCAATGCTTCCATGTGGTTTGTGGCAGCATTTTATGGACAGACACTTTGCTTAGTTTGGACATTGGTCAATTAGGATCGAGAAAGAGGGATACCATATTTTAGTTCTAGACGAGCAGAACTTTATAGGATAATTGCAATTGTTTAGATTTTGATGACTAATTATTAGTCAACACAAATACATCCTGTTGGATAGTTGATGCAGCATTTAATGCCAAATACCAATCTACTCATCCATATCCATATTCAACACACTGTATACTCATAGATGAATCTCTATATGTACAAGGGTCATTTTTAACTCTGTGATGTCATCAGGGGGCAGTATTCACAATCCACCAGCCACTATCGATCTGAGTATCAGTGGTCATAATCAGTGGAGCTATTTCTTTATTTGCACTCTTGGACTGATGTAAACAGACCTTCATCCACACACACACACAGTGGTGGTGATCGTGTGGGGGATGTGTCACACAAAACCAATTGTAAACATGTACTTTAGTTACGTTCTGCATTGACTACGTCATTAATACTGTAGTCCACCACTGCTCAAGAAGAGTGTGTTCATTCCATTAGAGGATTTATTGTAGTTACATGTACATGTAGAACTTTTGGGGTAGAAATTTTGAATTTTCTGCTTAAAATTCATTGGATACCCTCCTGGAAATAGAGGTACAACTGTAGCCTTGGGGAAAAGGTAATCAGGTTTTGTTTTCATCAGGTTTGGAATAATGGATATTGTATACATGTATGTTGTATTAAAAGAGATGCCAAATTCATTGTGAGACTTTACTCTAATTCCTGACAGTACTTTTATACAATACAATACATTTACATGTAGGACATGTTAGGAATTTGAATACAATAACTGGGACATCACTCAATTTTGTTTCTGTTTTTGTACTTTTTTTCCCTGGTTTTTTTTCTTCTCACTTGTTCATAAACTTTGAATTGCATGGTGTTGTGGTGTTACATGTATGTGGTTTTAATCTTGTTTTATACTGTATTTGTATCTTCAAAATGTTATGCTTGACATGTTCTTGTATTGATATATTTTTTTTATATAATATACATGTATGTATTTTTGTTGTTATGCTTTTTGTTTTTGGGGGTGACTTTCTGTCTTATTATTATCTTGTATACCGGTATTGGTACTTTTCTCAAATTTCTTTTATGATATTAAACTGTACTGTATACTCTTTGGAAAATGTGATTTATGTCTGTGCTGCTTTTTCAAACAGTGTGCCATAAGTACAGTAAATGGGGCTTTTATCAAAAGCAAACTTGGCAAGCTGGTGGAATAAATGCATTTTATAATGGTGATTTTGAATGTGTGCATCCCTTTTCCCAAATTATTAATAAAATTATTTAATATCTTTTCTCTGTTGGAGCCTAACAGTTCTTTGAATATATGTTTTATTTGAATGATGTTGTTGGTTGTTCAATGGTTGGTTGTTAGTTCTTACCTTGCTAACTTTTAACATTTTGCATTTGCATTTGTATCTAATCGATAATGCATCACAACCATTTTTAATGGGTGCCCTTGTGCATGTGTACATTGTAAATGTACTCATACAATTGTATCCTTCTCTTAAATGTGTCATGGTGTTGCCTTAAGCATGTGTATTTATTATTGATTTTTGTAGCATTCTTGTGATATCTGCATGTCTGCATTTTTTTTAAAATGTTGGTTTGAATTTTTTTCATTGAAGTTATTTTTTTGATATCATTACACATTACATGCATCTACAGCATGTAGACATTTGGTTTGTTTGGATATAATATCTGACAAGTTTGACATGGAAACAAATCTGGAAATTCAGTCTCGGAGGCCACTTTTTTGTCATTGTATGTGTACATTTATTTGTACATGTAATTTATACATTTTCTAAGATGTACACTCTAACTGTACACACATTTTCATTTATATTGTAGTGATCTTTATTTTCACTCATTTTATAATGCAATTCATTAGGAAAATGAGAGCCATGATAAGGGAAAATTTCTAAATTGAAAAAACAAAACAAAACAAATATCAACCTGTTTATATCATATATACATGTAAGCAGTGGTGCATGGTCTTCTGTCAAAAATAAGTAACATCATTATCACATCTAAGCCTAGGGTACAATGTACCCCCTTTAGCCGCTTCTTTCTTCCTCCTTGTTACCCATCAACTCATCCCTTCCCCTTATTTTTGTTTTCAGCGAACGCGAGCGAGAAAAGATGTCGTACAGCAAGCTGGACGCCGATGAGGGGGAGATGGACCCGGTGAACGAAATGACGGAGAAGATGTCGTACGCCAAGCTGGAGGATGGTGGAGAAGAAGGAGGGAAGGGCGAAGGGAAGAATGGCCAGCCCCTGAGGGCTAAGAGCTTTGATGGCTTTGAGGATCCCAGCCAGCCCCTGCTGCTCTCGGGCAACAATACTTCAGTCAACTATGAGGTAAGCCCAGAAAGTATGATGCTGAAGCAAAAAATGATTTTCTAAGTGATGTCTTTGAGCCTAGATTAAAAAAGTTGAAAATTGTGTGAAATTTATTCTTGTTAGGCTTGTACATGTATGTTCAAGATCTTAGAGCAATCACTTGGGGAATTAAGATTTTAAAAAACACTCCTTGTTTTTCAAAATGCAACTTTGTTAGGGTCGGGTTGAACATACATGAGTGTACAATAATTTGACTTCCGTTCAGAATGGTGTGATATGCGGACTTAGATTTGATTACTGGAGTTTTTTATATAGCGACTTTCAATGCAAAAGGTCCCTGGTATATATCATACTACTGTTCATGTACAGTAGTTCTCTTGTTGAAGAGTGTAGGCATGTAATGTACCGTAATTGCTATTTCAGATGTGTTTGGTGCATGTAGATTGAGAAACCTTATCAACCATCTGTTGTCTACATGTAGCTTTTAGACTCGTTCACATTTCTTTTTTGAGGGGAGGGGGTACTACGCGTACATTGGAAATGAATGGGAGGTGGAGAAGAAAAATAATTGGCTGTATGCAGCAGTGGTCATATGTGTACTCATTTATCTGTGTGCGCATTATAAGATACAAAAATATGATGTGCGGTATACTTACTTCCAGGTTAAATCTGCTTTTAAGAGAGCCCACATTGACATACTGTATATGCCGGTATGTGAACAAGTCTTCATACAGTTAAAAAACATGTGTACTTCAATGTGCATAAGAAACCAGACTTCTTATTAGCAAGGAAGAGACCTGGGATGTAACCCCTCTTGCAGACTCTTAAACATGTGTTGGAAAAAGGCTGCCTTTATGATATACACACTGTACACATATATGTAGGGTCCATTCCTTAAAATAGGATAGTGATGAGAAATATGGATGTGTGATGGAGAAAAAAGAGATTTTAGGATTGCGATTGAGATCAAATCATCTGTTGGAGCCAGAAGGCTGTTAGATCATATACTTTAACAGTATCACAGAGTTAACACCATTTTGGCTCTGTGAACAGACAAAATACATGCAGATTGTACAGCATCCAGGCTTCATGTTTGTGCTGAGTGATGGATTTGCAAACTGACATCAATTTGAACTTCAGATTGCATTCTAAAGAAATGCATAACGATGGCGAATTGATACACACTGACTACACAATGTGGAGGTTTTGCACAATGGTATTCTTCAACAGAAAAGTGAAGAAAGAAAAATGCAAGGCTTGCAATATTGGCTCTATGAATGGCGCATATACATTCATAAAATGTCTACCTATATTGTTCGAAGACTGTAAATGGCAAGTGCTAGCAGTGAACAAAAAAAAGGAAAGAAATTGGATCGGTAAAAATGTAAACGTGCTACAGTGTACTACACATGCCTACTGTAAGCAAGCAGGTCTTTCTGCTGGATTTTATCATAATGTTCCATAAAACTGTCATTATATCTTTTTGCCTTGATAAAAAACAGTAGTGGCAGTAACCTTTGAAAGATTCTAGGCATTTTGGCACTTGTAACCAGACGCGAAAGTTCATCTGCATGAAGTGTCCCAGTGGATTAATCGAGCTTACATCCCTAGACAGAAAGAGATATGTGTCCCTTGTTAGAATGGAAAATGGAAATATTTGCATTTCAAATCCAGTTAGAAACATGATAGCACTTTCTTTCTCTGTCGGGTTGCACTCTGCACCCTGTGGAGGAGCAGGAGGAGGTGGGTTTGGGAAGGACAGGGAAAGAAAGATAACGAGCGAGAGAAAGAAGAGAAAGAAGGAGAGAGAGAGAGAGAGAGAGAGAGAGATAACAAATATTAAATAACAGACAGACAGGAATGGATAGAGAAAAAAATGGAAAGAAAGGAGAGAGAGAGAGAGAGAAAGAAAACAAGAAGAAGGAGGGTGTGAAGGAGAGAGAGAGAGAGAGAGAGAGAGAGAGATATAAACATTGATAAATAACAGACAGACAAACAGACATAGATAGAGAAAAATTGGAAAGAAAGAAGAGAGAAAGAAAAAAACAATAGAGAGAGTGTAAAAGAGAGAGAGAGAGAGAGAGAGATGGGGAGAGAGAGGGGGAGAGAAAGGGGAGGAGGAGGAGGAGGAGAGGGAGAGAGGGAGTGATAAAGAATGTATGAATCTTTGTGCCCTCCCCCTCCCTTGACACAGAAGATCTTGCCAATGTCAGTGAATGAATAAGAGCGTGGATGGAACAGCTTGACATATTTTGCCACCTCTAAAGAACAAAGATGGTTACATAGAGAAGAGAGAGAGAGAAAGATGTCCATTGAAATGAAGCAGTTAATTTTGCCATACGTGTAATAACATTTTTTTTTTAAAAAGGTCATTTTGACTCACGGATCCTTTTACAATTATTCTAGCATCCCTAAAAATAAAGTGTCTTGTTTTGAACAATGTTTTGAATTTTCTTTTATCGTCATTTAGCTTGACTTTGTGGAGACGGAGTGGGGAAACATCTTAGTTGCCATCCAAGGAGATCGTACCAAGCCTGCTATTCTGACCTATCATGACCTTGGCTTGAACCGTAAGTTCAGGCCTCAATTAACCCTTCATAGTTTTTAAAGTCATGATACAGGCTGTTCTTATGTAAAACCAGACATTTATGTGATATGATATTTTCATGAAAATTGTAAATGGTGGCCAATTCGTTATAGAAATAAAACTGAGGGAATTTAATGTCAATTGTTGTTAATCATTTTATGTGGCATAAAGCCTGTGAGTAGTGACCATTCGTGCAATTTGCGAGCTTCTGGTTTTACAGTAACAAATTCCTAAAATTATGGTGAATAGAAGCTGATATTAGCTTGACTCAGATGTATTCATCACTCAAACTCTAGATTACTTCACGTCATCTTATTCTGCTTTTTTCTGCACAGAGTCAAATCTATCATTATCAACTCTAACAAAGTAAAGAAAATATAACAGATTAATGTTTTGTCAGTGTTTGTTACTTCTAGTATTGAATTCATTTTGAAACAAACATTATTCACATACTACAAAGCATGGCGGGAAGTGAGCATTCTTGTGGTTGGCACTTGAATAAGAGTTTGTAATTGTACACCTTATAGTAAAAAGATTTATAATGGCTGTTTCCTGATGTTACCAACATTCTCCATTAAAACAACTAATTGGACAGGAAAGCATGATTATAGGATGGGAGGAAAGATAAGGATAATCACTCAGTGATATTTTCATGTCTCGCCAAACAGTTCTCATACTAGACATCCTTTTGCAGTGAACTACAATTTGGAAATATATTATGCTTAGGACATTTACAATACACATGGCTAGAAGCCCAAATTTGGCACACATGTCACAGATTCTGCATTTATATGTTGATACTGGATACAATTTGTGAAAATTTTCATATAACGGTTTGCTTTGTTGTTCCAAAATCAGAAAAGTACTTTACTAATACTGGTATACTTACAGTTGCACTAAATGAATATATAAATGAATACAAAAATTGTCATACAAAATGGCACTTTTACTTCATGGAATGTTACTTTTGAATAATTATGTCTTTGATTAGGAATTTAAGTCAATTACGCTAAACCTGTACATGTAAGGGAATCTTCTTATTGGAATGTTCATGTGAACACTGAACGCTATCAAATTTATTTAAAAAAACATTTACATGTATTCTGTTTTTCTGAGTGACGATTCTCCTGCAATAAATAAATTTTTCAGCTATACACAAGTCATATTATTCTTATATTCTTTCTCTTCCCTTCCAAATCTTCCTCACATTAGATGTATCGTGTTTCCAAGGTTTCTTCAACTTTCCTGACATGCAGCCCATCCTGAAGCACTTCTGTGTTTATCATATCAATGCACCAGGGCAAGAACAGGGGGCAGCTCAGCTACCAGAGAAGTATGTTCAACATCACAACTCTTCTATTTAAAAAAAAAATTGATTGATGGAACTGGTTGATTGATTCAAAAACATGCATTCAAAATAGCAGCCAAAGGGTGAAACAGATTGAATTCATAAAATATTGTTAAAATATGCTAAAATACAATGGATTGAACATTACTTTGACAAAATACAGTAATATACAAAATAAGAATAATATTGCACAAAAATAATGAAAAGGAAATAGAAAAAGACAGGGAATTTAAAATCTTTAAGCTTTATTTTGTAATAAATTGTTAATGGATTTCTGGAGAAGTTTCTATTACTGTCAGCTGTTTGAAACCTTTGTTAAAAGCACTTTATAAATATGATGTGTTATGTGTAGAGATTGGTATACTTGGTACATAGCTTTTGCATAAAGGGCTTAGTCATTAGAGTTATTTAGCTCACTTTTTGTTTATTTAAAAACAATAACACAGAATATATATTCTATTACTCATATGGAAGTGGACAAATTTGAAAAAGATACGGCCCTGAGAACATTTCACAGTTGGTTAGATACCTGTCATGCGTTTCAATGAATTCATATGATTCTGATGGAAAATTTTAGGCCTCACAGTTTTTGTTTGTGGTTATGATTATTGTCATTATTCTTCATTTTATTTTGTATTGCTACCACGTGCTTGCGTCATTACACATCTTTTGTCAACATGTCATATCTATTTTTATTCATCTTTTCAGCTTTGAGTACCCAGACATGGATCACTTAGCAGAGACTCTTATCAGTGTACTTAATCACTTCAGGTAAGTTTCTTTTCATTTAATTTTTTTATAAACGTAAACTGTTCAGTATATCAGTCAGCCTGAGGTTTCCTGACATTGTTTTAACCTAGTGAGGAAATAATATCATAGGAGGAATAATAAGTTTTGTACTCTGTTGTGGATTTAATATCTATTTAAGTGTAAATATTCTTAGCTCTGATTGTCATTCAATTTGAACCCTTTTTAATAGAGCACTCAAACTTGTGAGGAATTATCATTTTGTTTTTGAAAAACTCAAAGTTTCATTCGTTTTAACCTTCTTAAAAAATAAAGTAGAATAAAGAAGAATAAAGAACTTTTTAGTGGTAGAACTATGAAATTTTCACCTCTACCGTAAATCTCCGTGTATAAGGCGCACCCCAATTTAAGGGAAGGAAAAAAAAGAAAAGAAAAAAAAAGAAAACAAAAAACAAAAAAAAAAAAAACGTTTTTGGTTGATGTTGTTGTTGTTTTGTTGCCGAAAACCCACGCGGGGAAGGACCTTCATTTTACATCGAGGTGCAGTTAAAGGCGCTGATTTGTGCTTGTTAACTTGTCACAACTAATAGTACCAATGTCGTTTTTAGAAGAATGTGTAAGATCATGAATGTAAATTAAAAACAAAAGAGTACATATGGTACCAATGGTGCACATTGTGGTACACCATTTGTTATAGAAAAAAATATTTGAGGAATTATTATTATAAACTACATATTGAGATCTATCAGAAAGATTACTTTCAAACCAAGATGACAGACAAATTTGAGTGTTGTTGTAGTTTCCGAGTGGTGAGTCAACACACTGATTACTGAGCTGGGAGACATTGCCAGGCATAGCGCCATAAATCGAAACTTAAAACTTTTTTTTTCTGTACCTGTGTATAAGGCGCACCCCCGACTTTCAAATTTTTTCGGCGGCAAAAAAGTGCGCCTTATACACGGAGATTTCCGGTAAATTAAAAGACAAGCCTACATGCAGGCATCTCCCCCCCCCCAAAAAAAATGAACGAATCAATGAGACTTTGATTAATGTTATTCTTCAATAACGCTATCAGTTGGACTTGTTTCTTGATTTCTCTCTCTCTCTCTCTCTCTCTTTTACAGACTTAAGAAATTCATTGGCTTTGGAGTAGGATCTGGTGCAAATATCTTGACAAGGTTTGAGGTAAGCTGAAATTGTTTTTCCACTTTTCTTTCTTCAGAAGGAAAAGGAGTCAACCGTGATTCACTGTGTAATATGCTCAGTAAACTTCCAAATAAAAAAGAAAACAAAGCTGATTCTGTGATATTCTTTAATCATTGATGCATAATTCAAAGTTGATATTTGTTTTTTCGAAAAAAAGAAGGGAAATCAAATGGAATGAAAATAAAACAGGGATGCATGTCCCATTGCCATATTGTATGATGCTGGATTTTGAAATGTGGTTCATCACAGAGCAAGGACCCAACTTGAGCAAGATGACCATTACATTGTGCTTGGACCTGGACTTCAGTGAACTCAACTTAACAAAGTATCGAAGTATGAAAGTGAAAGTGGACTGCTTGATAATTGATTGATTAATGGATTATATTCTTATCTCGTATGTTCAGCTCGCTCACCCAGAGTACATAGAGGCTCTCATACTGGTCAACTGCGTATCAACACAGTCAACTTGGACAGAATGGATGCAACAAAAGGTATTACAGTCAAACCTGATTTAGTGACCACCTGTATAGAAAGACCACCTGTCTACAAGGACCACAATTTTTGTTTTCTTTGAAAATGGTGTCTCATTGAAACATGTACTAAAGGAACCTGTACATAAAGACCACTTTTCTTATCTCCCTCGGGTGGTCTTTATAGACAGGTTTCACTGTACAATGATATACGATGGAATTGAAGAAGGAGAAGAATGATATTCATGACATGGTTTACGATAATAATAATAATTATATATGTGATTTGTAAGGCGTCGAATCCGTTGAAAATCAAATGCTCGAGGTACAGTTGTGCAAGAAATGAAATTACATAAGAGCATCTGCATTATAATCAAAAGAACAACTGGAGTATTAGATAAAACTTACAGAAATGAAAGAGAACAATTTATTTATATGCCGAATCAAACAGATATGTTATAAGATTATTTTTTATTACTTCAACTGATCTGCTATTACAAATGATTATGATTATTAGTAATTATTCAAGAATTTTCTATGCCTGTCAGGGGGGGGGGGGGGGATTGAATTTAGTCATGAAATAAGCAAACATTTTGTAATACATGTGAGGGTGGGAAGAATAATTTCTTCCCTGTAGTCCATATGGGAGATGAAAATTGAATGTTTTCACCTTGACCCTGAGCTTTGCTCATAGAGTGGGACAGGTATACAGAGGACCTCCATCTGGTTTCTTACCCAGAGGTATTTCTCCGCTGTTTTCTTGATAAATACTGGGAGCAGGAGAAATGCACAATCAAAACAAATTTGGCTGCAGTTCTCAGCTCCAGCTCAAGTTGAACGTGTGAATTTTTTTAAAAGGCAATTATTAAAGCCTACTCACTCCGTAATTTCTGTAATGATTATTATCTGATGTCTGAAGAATGATCTTCACTTTATGCAGATTCTTCAATATATTTAGATAATGAAACTTCCCTGCTTAGCAAACGTGTTATTTTAGGTAAACCATGCCAAGTGCACTTAGCTTAATGTGATGTAACTGCTTTCCAGCTTTTTCAGAAGGATTTTCAGGGCCTTGGGAAAGAGCACATACAAGTCCCTATATTGATGTACATGTGAAGTTGTGAATTATTTATAAACTTCTCGTTTTACTATTGCAGCTGTCAGCATACTACCTAAGAAAGAATGGCATGACAAACTACACACAAGAATACCTTCTGTGGCACTACTTTGGCAAGGTATGTATCACATTGAACTACTCATTTCAACTGACATTCATAGCATTCTTTTAATTATTATAGTTGTGTGTCTCAACTGTATAACTGAATCAGTTTTTGTGTATGTTTGTTTGTTTTCCTCTTTTTGTTCTCTTTTATTTTCTCAACTGGCATTTCCAGTTTCCTTTTGTGAATCTATGCTATCGAGGATGAGATATATTATATATGATATTTATTTTATTTAATTTGTATAAACTGCCTTATCCCTGTTATCCACACACAGAGTACAATGGAAACACATCATGAGCTGGTGGCACTCTTCAGGGAGAACCTTGCTAAGAATGTGAACGCTTTCAATCTCTCACTATTTGTCAACTCATACATCAGGTAAGAACTACTTCTCTATCTTTTATTGTTTGCTAGGCATTTCTTTATGTTCATTGTGAAGAGCTGTTTAATAGGTACATTTATTATAGAAATATCTCCTAGTAGTACTTCATTGTTTCCAATTCGGTGTAATAAGCAGGAGTTTCACACAAGTTTGAATTTTGTAGGCCGCTATCGTATGAATCATGATGTATTTGTATGATAGATGCATACAGCCTTAACTGGAGCGCGGATAGATCGTATAATGAACTCATTCCCATGCGTCGTCTGTATACTGTTCTTGTATAGCGCATATCACCTATTTAGCAATGTCTTTATGCATTCCAAAGAACATTAACTTTGAATTCTTAATCTAGCTGTAGCCTACATGTAGCTGTTTTGATAATGCATTGATGCATTCAAGAATTTTTGTCTACCACACAAGTGTGGCAAATTTAGATTGATGTGTTGCCAAAGTACCGTGACCAAGACTTGAACCCTGTACCTTGCGATCAATAGTCTGGTGGCTTATCCACTAGACCACAATACCCCTAGTGAAAAAGGATTATATTGCCTCTATGTCTCACCTCTTGTCCCACCACACAGACGAACAGACCTGAACATCCGACGTGAGCTGGATCCGTTCAAACAGAAGAATCTTCGCGGCGTGAAGGCTCACAGTATGCTCATCGTAGGTGCAAATTCACCCCATGTCAACGATTCGGTAAGTGTTTGCTCATTGTCAACCGAATGCTGCTTTAGTGGTAGACAGTTAAATGTGGCATCAATGCGGGTCAATGTATTTGAATGTATTTTTCTTGGTGAAATTTTTTGGGCTAAACCCACTTATGTTCTTTTAAAATACAAACTAGCATCTTAATTTAACATTTAATCATGCCTGAAACTTTGCAAATTTTGCAAGTGTTCTGAATTCATGCTATGAAATGATTTGAATGACAATATTGAATTTTGCTATTCCTGAGAGGTTCTCGCTATGAAAACAGCTGTAGTATGAAAATAGCAGTAGTTAACAATTTGCGAAAGTTTCAGGTCTTGAAGATTTTCTGGTCTTACAGTATTTAGTTTGTCATCCATGTCTTTTACCAATGGCTGGAGGGTGTCTAAAGGTTAAAGGGACTGGGTATCTTTGCCTCAGATTCTAAACAAAATCATGGATTTAGCTCATGCTGTAATCATAATTATAAACCTTTAGGTCAGTCAGGAATCCCATGACTTTTAGCCGATCGCCTGTCTGATTATCAAGACATTTATGATTAGAATTAGAAATGTCTGTTTGCCAAACAGTTTTAAACAGCTTTTTATAACACTACGGTCTATTGGAGAAAATGAGTATGGTAAAACCGGTCGCTCAAAGATTTTTACTTTTTTTAAGCACTTCATGATCATTTTGAAGCCCCATTTTATTAGGGCTTCAATATTACACCATATCACAGACACTGATAACACGTAAAGCCATGCATCTCAGATTTGTAAAACCGGAAACATTGTCAAACAATGCCTTTAACCTTACAGGTAAGTCAGACTCCTGTAGTCCTGTAAGTTGTTGGTCACATGGTATGATTTGCTTTGCTCTGATTGGATGGCAGGTGGAGATGAACGCCCGTATGGACCCGGCTCGCAGCCAGTGGATGAAGATGTCAGACTGTGGCGGTATGATCTTAGAAGAGCAACCTGCCAAGCTAGCCGAGGCCATCAGGCTCTTCTTACAAGGCCAGGGATACGGTGAGTAGAATCAAAACACACAATGAAAGATGTGAGTCAGTCCAGGGGGTGTTTCACAAAACTTGTCATCAGTGACAAATGACAGTTTTTGTTATAAGCTACTGATTGGTTCTGATTGGTCATCAGCAGATTAGTCACTGATTTTAGTTATTTGTCATTGAAAAAAGGTTTTGTGAAACGGGTCCCAGCAGTACCATCATTGGTATGTTCAGCTCTCTGTCATTGCCTACAAACTGACTCGGATAGACTATGGACCAAAACTGAGTCGCATCTTTCGCATATTGATGTTTAGGTCAATCCCCAGGGATCAATTATCATATCTGATTGATACATGTTTGTGAAAATCTTCATTTACACACACACATTTCTAAGAATAATTGAAATTAATTCGAATTGAATTTATTCACCACTGTCATAAAATAATAATTGTTTTCATCTAGTGATTTACCAGTTAACAAGTAACTGTCCAAAGAAACTCGATACTATTACCCCTGTCATCGGATTTAAACATGATGCTGAACTTTAACAGTGCACACTCTCCACTCCTTGGGGAGCCTCCATGCAAGCTAGTCACCTTTTTACAGGTGGGAACATGCGATTGCAATCACACTGATGTTCACATCATCATATGTGAACCCATTTAAACACCTGGGTGGAGAGGAACAGTGCAGATAAAATGCATTGCTCAAGGCCATATTCAGGTTAAGGAGCATATACTATAATTTTTGTTTACCAGGAGGGTGTTTCGCAAAAATCCTAAGTTGCACTTAAATTTAAGTTGGACTTAAAATTATGGAGAGCTATTTGTAGTCTTAAAATAAAATATATTCAAAAGCAAAAATTAAAGTATTTTGGACTTTTTATAAATTCCCCATCAAGAACATGAAATCTCCTTGATGATAGAAAATATGAATGATTTGATTCAACATTTTATGCCTTTAAAAAAAAACTTTTACAAAGTATTTTCATAGATGCTAACGGCTTTCCATAAATTCTAAGTCCAACTTAGAGAAAAGTTCAACTTAGGATCTTTGTGAAACACCCCCTGATGTAATAGTATTTCAATATCAAATACATCATACTTATGTACAATCAATGGTTATGATCCTTGTGTCATTAAGAATAGGTACTGGAGACATGCCTCATCATTATCATCAATATAATTGTCAATGTCTTTTAAATTACTTCTATCATTATTGTTTTGAAATCAACTAAGGAAATGCTAGAATGCTTGCCTGCCTTTTCAGAAATCTGCTTGCCCCATGTTATTTGGCAAGTGCCCGAGTAGTACCCTGCATTATTCCTAGAGTTTTTGAATACCTAAAGTAGAATGATTTTGAGTTCATATTCCATATGCTCATAGTCATGTGAGTTATATTACACACATCTTTAAATCAGTGTATAGCTAATTAATTTTTATAAGCATTCAATTGTAATCAAGTCATTGTAACGTACAGGCACTTCCAAAGAGGAAACTAGGTTTTCCTACCATATCACTCCTCTTGTTTTTTAATAGTCATATTATAAAAAGTTGTTAAGATGACACAAGAAGTCATGAGTAGCACTTTTTTGGAGATATTCTATATATATATATATATTTTTTTTTTTTTTCAATTTGTGTTTGAGAAGCAATCAAGAGAGGGTAAACTTGTCATTTATCATACTTTAACTGTCATTTTTTTTTCTTTTCTTTGAAAAAGACACTATAATGTATTGCAGATGATTCTTAGCTGTTTTTTCTTATGTTGCATTTTTAGCCATCTTTCACCCTCCATTCATAAAAAAAAAAAAAAAATGCTCTTCATTTCTCACATCCTCTTCTCTGAAACCCATCTTTGTTGCTTGTCCATGTTCTAACCTCGTCTTTCATTTTTTTGAAATAACAACTTGTTTCTTTACCCCTCACTACATCATTTCTTGGAATGCATGGAACCATTAAGCAGTACCTTGGGTGAAATCGTAAATACTTTCGATGTTCTCTCTCTATACATAGAGTCCAGACTCGAAATGCATGGTTTAGCCAGACTGAATGAAATCATTTCAATTTTATCTTTTTATTCTGTTTTTATTGTTCTTCTTTTATTTGCGGTCGAGAATGCCTACTTTCAGTGACAGTAGCATAGTCAAGTGTAGTATTAAAAGACTCTTCACATCAGGCCAATTGGGGGTGAACTTAGAACCATGTGATACCTTTACAACGAGTAGATATTAGGAATATATAAACATTTTTACCTGTTCGACTTTCGTAGGTAGTGACTTTCGTAGGTACATAGCTTTCAGAATCATAGAGGTCCCCTTATTTGATCAGTCAGTTTTCATATTCTTCCCCTAAACCTCCAACTATTGGAACAAATTTTGTTAGTTGAACATGCAAACCCAAAATGATAAAACCGAAAAATCCATATATATATATACTGTATTTATATATATTCTATATCATACCCCTTGACACCTTTCCATGCTTGCACACTCTGAAACAAAGAAGCATTTATGAACAAAAATATCCATCCTGCAGTTTAATCCCAACTCTACTTGCCAGCTTACCCACCATGTAGCCTTTCTCTCACTTTATGTTGTGTCCTGCAATCTGACACGTGTCTGTCTGTCCGTCCTGCCATTGTGCGAGTGTTTGTTGCAAGCAGAGAAGAAAAAAATAACTTTTTTGCTGCTCTTTGGTTTGATAATCCCTGAGAATTCTGTTTACCAAAACAGAACAAATTTTCCATATTTGAGAGAGGAACTTGTGTGAACTCTATTTGTATAAGTTAATGTATGTAGTTCATCAACTCTGTGTGAAAAGATTACCCCCATTTGTAGCAGTTTGTCTCAGATTGAAACTATACTCCCAACGTGGTTAGCTTTAGAAGTGAGAAAATAACCCACTAGAAAACCACTAGGGCTGGACATGATCTGACGTTGTTTTTCATCGGCCTGAACAATGTTCAGACTTTTAAATGTATGAAATGATATAAGATGTTAATACTGTGTTCATCTGGTGAGGATGGCTCATTGGTAGAGTATTGGTCTCGTAACCGGGAGGTCCTGGGTTATAACCTAAGTCTATACGCTAGTGCCCTTTGGTGTGAAGGCATTAATCATTACCAAGCCCCCTCATCGGTCCCCTGATTGCTTACTTACGAGCATATTCTTAGCAGTCAGGTAAACAAACCAATCAAAGTATGAACACTTTAAGATTGTTGATTTTGTCCAGGCCTATCCTAGATTTTCCTGATGTATACCGGTAGTGTAAAATAAGAATAGTCTTTCAACCTTTTTGCATGCTCATGAAGAAGCATGGTGACTAAAAGAGAGAGAGAAAAAAAATCATACATATCAAAACCTTGTCTTTTCTCCTCATGTCTGTAGATTTTAATGATGTAATTTTGGCCCATTTCTCATTCTCTCCTGTCTCTCTCTCTCTCTCTCTCTCCACTTTTGATGGTTGTTCTCGATTATGTGATGATAGTTGATCGTAAGTGTGAAGTAGACAATGAAATAAGGCCCTTGCCTATTTGACTGCCTAACACCTGACCTGCCTGATACCTTTTGTTTATGTTTGCTTGGTTTTAATAGGAGATTGTAGCATTGTGGAAATGTCTGTCAGTTTCTTGTTGCATCAAGTTTTGATTGATTATGAATTGCTTTGAAGGCTTTTGTATTTTGTTCATGCATGACTGTTATGGATATTCAATGTTTGCATCATTCAATTTCATTTTTTAGTAATTTAAATTCCAGCATCATTTCAACTTTTTCAGTCAGACCTTTTTTCCCCAGAGGGGGACGTCGGGATTGGGGGGGGGGGGGGGGGGTGATCTGCAATGCGAAGGAAACATAGTGGGTGCTGTAATCTAGGATAAGCGGTATGCGATACCTTCAAAGAAAAGAGATCAAAATTTTCAATAACTACTAACTAGAAAGAGCCCAAACTCTGAAAGAAGTGGTTGCTTTAATAGCCTGACATCTGACACATAAGGAAGGAAAAAGCATAAACTGGCAGCTAGCTAACTTTTGAATATTATTTATGATTAGGATACATTTTCTTTTTGCATAATATGAACCTACCGGTAAGTTACATAAACGATGTAACGTAGATACATCTCATTTTGAACTATCCAATCAGTTAGAAAGTGTTCATTTCTATACAAATGTTTAGTTTTGGGTGTTTCTTTTTAAGAGTTCCTAAATTGTGCTGTTGCAGTATTACATACAGCACCTGTACTTGAAATTGATTTCTTGAAGCTATTCATTATGGAATAGAATGGAATACTACCATTGATGTGTGAATTTGATTTTTTTTTTTTTTTTTTTATGTATCCCCTGTTAAATTTGTATGAATAGCATTGTTTCCTTTTGAATATTGAAGGCAAATAATATTTTAGAGCTTTGTTTAATCCCATCCTACCTAGAGTGTTTTTTTTTTTTAATAAATGATTTAAATCCCTCCTCCCTATATCTGTGTTAAACTAATGGCATTTAGGCAACCATTATTTATAACAAAATCATAATACCAGTAACCTTAAAACCAATAATTATGCTTTTCAATACACAGCATTCATAGAAACTATGCACATTCTCAACCCTATTGTGTAGTTGCACCTAAAATGTGTCTTTCTAAAGAGTTATTTGCATTTATACTTGTCAAGATGTTATGAATACCTTTCCATATATTATGGAGCTCAAACTCTAAAGCAATATGAACTTATACTTTTATATGTATATATGTATATTATTATTGCATTATTAATGTTTCGTTTGTATTAATTTTTTTTTTTTTAACATGCATATTCTTGCTGCATATTGTCTGGCATTTATGTATACTGAATGTTACTTATTTATTTGCATGATAATTCTAGTTTGAATGGATAACATTGGATTTTGCAGATGATTTGTGACTTTGATAATTATATTAATTGTATTTATATAATAAATGCCATATTTCATGTACCGGTAGTTACATTTAAATATAAATATATATATAGGGGACCCGACATATGCTCCAAGCTTTATTTTGTCAAATGGTATATACATGTATATATGAAGTTGGGGTGAGAGTTGCAATAGTGTTTTAGGTTAGGTTTAGGGTTAGGGTAAGGTATATTGTTGGGTCTAGTGTTGTAATTAAGAATTTGGTTAGTGCAGGAAATTGACTGTAGCAGGAGCTTGTGTCCTACAACCGTCCACATAAATTACAGGTCAAATCTGACAGACATGAGCGCTATACAAGAACCCACTATTATTATTATCATTATTATTATTTTAAGGTTTATGAAAACTGATTACTAAAAAGGTAAAAGCGAGTGATAACAGAAATATTGGGAATATTGATAAAAGTGATGGCGATAAAGTTAATTGCCCTTTTTATTAAATCTAACATAATGGTAAAACAAATAATTAAATTTTAATCTAGATTATATCGCAGTAATAGTGTCACTAATGGTATTGAAAATATTGACTAATCATTAACAATAACGTATAGAAATAATGATCACATAAACAGAATTGAAGAAGGAAAAAAAAAATAATGGGTATTTGCTGGTATGTTAAGCCAAATCTGATGACTAGCACAATATAAAAAGCATTTAAAAGTTCATTTAAACAATTTTTTTTTTTTAGATATGTATTATATTTAATGGATCTCTTCATTTCCTCCTGCAGTGTTAAAGGTGCGACTCAACCGCCCAGCACGGTCTATGGAACCCCCAGCACCCACAAGCAAGACAGGCGCCCCAGAACCAGTGATGGTGTAACAGTGGTCGTCTAGAAGCAGGGTCCATTCGACACTTCGGGTACCAAAAGATACGGACAGTTGTATCAAGATTGACTCATCGTGTATTTTTAATCATATTACTGATCGTTTTCTGTGAACCCAGAAACTTTGTGACATGAAACCTTTGCGAAGGGTTAATTTGGCTATTTTCACCGCAAGAAACTGTTGCAAATTGCAAAAAATTAGTGTTACATCGATTGGGATTCAGTTATTTCACGGCATGAAAGTTTCGTAAATCTGAAACACTCATGAAATCTGCGAACATTTTAAGGACGCTTACTTGTAGGCTTCTGATTTTACATTAACATGATTCAAGAGTCTATGGGTGTAACTTTACTGCAAGCCCATTATGCCACTGACTCTACATATGGTTTCTGCTGCAATGGATTGATGCCCTTTTAGCTCTCATCCATTGATAAATTATTTGCTTGGAGACAGAAGGTCATTAAATCCTAAACTTTAACACAGGGTTAACGTCCTTCTGGCTCCGAACACACAATATCATGCCTGGGGAGTGTTTCACAAAGACTAAGATCGACTTTAAGTTGAACTTAAATATGGTCTCACCATTTACTGGTGTTGGTCTCTCAAGAGACATACAAATCATGGTCACAAATATACAGAATTTCCTTTTTTGATAATTCATTATCAAAGGAAAAAATATTATATTATAAGATCATAATGGTTATAGAGCAAACAGTGGCATGATTCGTGCCATAGATAAGTCCAACTTAAATTCGATCTTAGTATTTGTGAACCACTCCCCTGGTCTTATTGGCTACTGGGCATTACCGGTAGAAAGTGTGTATTACAGATAGGGTGTTGTGAAAGAACCCTCTTTTTTATTTTGCCAAAATACAGTTGCTACAGGGCGTACAGTAGAATATTAATCTTACATTTTTGTGTGTATAAGTGATGGAACAGAAAGGGATGGGGTATTCGTTGCCAATCTGTTGATGATAAATTGTAAAACCTGGGGTCTTTGGTCACTGTCATATACTTGACATCAGATGCTCCTTGGAAACAGCGAGGACGTATTTTACAATAATGTTATCAATTTCCTGACGAGCGCTCGTTTTCATCATGCGCTGATGTTGAAGGTGATAAAATAGCGTGGATAGACAATGAACTGACATATGCTTTTGGTAAGAATCTGGTCTTGTGTACATGTACTTCACAGACTGCTATGATGAGCTGAATTATTCAATGATGCTTAAAGTGAAAGTTAATCATTGAATATTTTAGTCATCTAGGTATCATTTAATATGAAGTCACCCTTCCGAAAAAAGGAAGAAAGAAAAAATATATCAACTTGACAGTGTGCATTTATCTAGGTTAATGGCATTATGCATGATGAAACACAAATGCTTGGAAATTGACAAATATAATTTTACAGTGCAAATAAATTATTACCTCGGTGAAAGCATTTTGTTTTAATATAAATATGGAATCATGAATGATACATTAGTGATGAAATGGAGAAAAGACAATCTGACTTAATAGAATTATTCTCTATAATGCTTATTTACGAAACATATAAATGACCTTTACCATCAAGCTTTTGAAAATAGTACCGGTAAGTAGCCTGAAACATTTTTCACATACCGGTAGTTCTTGTCAATTAGGTAAAATACAATTTGAACCTATTCTAGGATTGATTAGGATAAAGCAGGCTAATGACTTTAAATTTCTAAACCAGTATTCAGAGTAAAACTAATGTGTAAACCTAAATAGTGCCCTGTTTATATCATTCTGTCTTTCCTTTGTATTCCTTTTTATTCCTTTTGCTTTTTCATTTCATTATCTTTCTGAATGTCTACACAGTTTGGACATAAAATAAATTGCAAAATTAGATAAATTTACTAATGTAAAATTCAATAATTGTCAAAACTTGTGTAATTATTGCAGCTCTCATCATATTCTGTTAATTTGAACATTTATACTATAAGTTGTCTGACATGATTCAGAAGTGGAAGTTGTTTGTGTAAATTAAAAACAATCTTTTCTCCTTCTACTTGTTGTATGTACCAAATACATGTAGTTATGTAATGTTTGTATGAAGTTTGTGTTTTGTAAAATTAATGGAAATGAAACTCGGCATTGTTTTGTTTTTTTTCTTCAAAACCTTATGATCTATTGTGCTGTTCAAATAAATAGAAGTGTATTTGTTAACATTTTTTTGTGTTTGTGCGTTTAGGGTGCACTGGAAAGGTTTACAAAAAATTAAATATATGCGAGTCACAGGGGAGTGTGAAAGAATTCATGTTTACCCGAATGTAGTTAAGCAAATGGAAGAAGCAGAATTTGAAACCAAAGCTGATATGATATGTGATCTCTGCTCAAGTTTTGTTGCGATTCTGACACTTGTTTCTTTAATGTGTTAAAAAAAAGGTTTTAAAGAAGAGCTTCCCCTGTGTGTGCTTAAACAAGTTGAACATGTAATTAAATGTAATTAAATCCATTATGAAATCTGTAAATAACCACATTTTCAATCTGATTGCCAGTATGATTATTTGTATATATTGATTATGGTATGGTTTATATACAGCTTTCTTTACTTGATAATCCGGATGTGATGATTTAATGATTTATCCTTTTTTTTTCTTATCCTTTTTTCATATTGTTGTCTTCTTTTTCATATTTTCCCCCATGAAAGTTGTGTGTACTTTCTCTTTGCAATTATACTCAAATTGGCAGACATTGTATTCATATACTGCTATTCAAGCTCACATTGCACAGCTTGAATTGCGCAATGTACCTTGTGTGCACACAATATATAGCTCTATTTATATCACCATTCTCACATAAAATTTTGTATTCTACCTAATCACGTCAGAAACGTAGTGCTATTAAGTGAAGTGCGTGCATACATGTATACAAATATACCTTACCTATGACTGCTCTCGTACTCAAACAAGTAGGATATATACATGAAGTATTCAAGTATGAATAGTCATGTCCTGAACTGGTTCAAGTTAATATAAAATGTAATTGTAGTAATTTACTTCTCCTTTCCCTTGTAGCCATCATGCATCCCTTACCATTACTGCGAGTGCACTGTACTACTAATTTGCCCCTTGAGTAGCAGTCTGTATAAGTGTGTTTCAAATATTTGGACTTGGTGAATTTTAATGGCGGTTATCAATCTATTTCAAAAAACAAAAGCAGAACAATGGATTTAGTATTTAGTAGAACAATCATCTGTATATGTATCAGTTTGAAATGAAATTGTGGATATGCCTACATATCGTGTATTATAAAATTCAAAGCAGGATCATTATATTTGTATTAAACATTTGAGTGCTTGTATGACTTGTACAAAAGGAGATATATTTACTATGTAGTGTACCCCCATATGACCTTTGAGCTGTGTATTTACATGACCATCATGATGTATACTGAATGGCCCATTGCATGGAGAGGCATGCATATTTGTGATGCAAACAGGATTGTCTGGTGTAAATTCTATAAAAAGATATTTTCCTCACAAAAAAGATTTATGCATTTATATGATGAACTGTAGGCAGCATAATCATAAATGTATCTGTGTATGTACATTAGAGACTGTAGCGTGTACATGGCGGTAGATTTCACAGGTTATGAAAACAATCAATTCCCATCTCTGACACCTTTAGTGATTATTAGTAGACTTTGTGCTGATTGGAAATTCCATCCTTTTATCAGAACAAGTTTGAGCAAGATAACCTAGTTTCCATGAAATATGTCATTGTAGAAACTGTCAAATACATACCATACCTGCAAATAATGAACCTGTAATTTAAGAAATCTGTAATGACATTTTAATCACCATTGTTTGATATCCATACCTTATAATGGGATGAAAAATGTGACTCGCATTATGTGGTTGATTGTAAAGTTATTGAGATATAAAATTGTCACGAAGATGCAAAATGAGTATGTCTGTATGCACTTAGAGAGAGATTGAAAAATATTATAGAAAACAAGCAATATGTGATATTGAAATAGAGGATATATATATGTATATGATTAAATGTTCAATATTTCATTCAATCCTGCCGGATTTTTGTTTTCTTTTCAGTGAATAATTTTGAGTTGTGTGTGTAGTGGAATGCCGACTGTAAGGATTAGGCATGAGAATCGAGTTTGTTGAAAAAAACTGGAATTATAAATATCTTTAAAAGTATAAAAATTGAAAATAGAAGAAGAAAATTGAGAGGAACAGGTCACTTATAGTTTGAGCAAATTCCAATTGAAAATAAGAAAGTTTACACATTTTTGAAGTTGCAATCAATTGAACACAAATTGGCAACTCTGTGACGTATCTTGCTCTGTATTTAAATCGTACATGCACCCTAAATGCAAATATCTTTCTATACAACCCCTGTATGGACAAATCTATTCTGTCATCTGTAACATTAAAATGATACGTTTATGAAATTTAAGGTACCTAGCCCATTAATTTTTACTGACCTGTTCCTCTCATTTTAGCAATATTTGGTGTGCATGGTGTGCCTCCAGGGGCAAGGTTCTTGAAACCAAGTTTGCCTGCATGCATTTTTAAAAACCCACATTTGATAGGATAGCCACAAACTTACATGGAGACTTGTGAGGTTTTGAGAAACTTGCCTAACGTCGCACATAAAACATGCATTCACTCTTTGGAAAGGTTTACAGAACAAATTAAGACGGAACACATCAGATTCAAACTAGAAATCTCTTTATTCATCATCTCCAGATAATGAAGCCAAAACACCCTTCAAAAAAACTTCAAGCAGAAAACTGCAATTAAGTATTAAAAGAAAACAAGGATTTCACCAAAGAAGACAACTCACTCATCAGTGCATTAAAAAGCGGTTGGAGAAGGAACACGAGTTGATTACAATCTGCCAACAAAAACATAAAATATGATTCTAATTTCCCCTTATGAAGGTAAGTACATAATCCATATTGTTTTGTGCTTGTCTGATGAAAAACTAATGTTTTTGAAATAAAAATAGCTTACAACAGCAACTAGAAAATCAAACCAAAATAATCAATGTAAGAAACTCGTGGATCCATAGAAGACATGCAAAGCTTTTAATTATGGCAGTGATTAAGATTTCTTATTAAAACAATTCATTTTTAAGAAAATATGTTCTGTGAAAATGTTGCAAGAAGATGACATTTGCACAATATACAAGTTCTTTGGTTTTAAATTAACATTACATTATATGAGCATTTATGCTTTTGCAGTAATAAATCAGAAATAATTTTACAGTATGACTGCAAAGATATCAGAAAATTAATATAATATACCTCATGGCAAGTAAAAGGAAAAAACAATAAAATTCAAGAATAACCAACCATCTTCCACACCATTTCTTTGAATTAACATGGAATTGGAAGACAAAAAAAAAATTAAAGCTTTCTTTATAAGAAAACAATCTTGAAACACATACAAATCATCATCATTCACGAGGTACAGTGTATGGTGCTAAATACTGGCAACAATTTTTTTTCTTGGAATGTCATTCTTGATTCATTTTTACTAGACCTATGATATCTTGGTGTACCAATCTCTTACAAAAATAATTTGTGTACAGCTAGATTTTTCACCCGGCATTCTATGGGCCAACTGATAATAGAGTATGCAGAAAATGAAAAATCGCATGGCACAGAATCCGAGTCAGACGTAAGTTCCATTAGGGCTCTAAATTTAAGCGGGCCCGTATGGGTGCATCGAGTAGTTCACTCACAAGTTGATTTTATGTTAAAAGAGAGTGTATGTAAACTTGCAAAATCTCTTCACAGAAGCAACATTTGGAGCTCATAGTTTGAACATAGAATTAAGACATGGAACTAGTAACAGACAGGAAAGGGAAAAATTGAGAGATTAGTACTCTTTCACCAATACAATACAATATCTCAAATCAAGACTTTATAGATCATAGTTAATAAAGAAACACATTCCTACACACTCTAAACAAGTTGCACTACATTAGATAATATACAAATAATGAATGGTTATGAGTTCAATAGTGCGAATATGTTCATGAGTTGAAAGATTAACATTCTATTCAACGAGGCGTCAGCCGAGTTGAATAGAATTAACGTTAATCTTTCAACGAATGAAAATATTTGCACTATTAAACGAATGAAAAACATTCATTATTTGTTTTATACAACATCGAAGAAGACCTAATAGAACGTTAATCAGCAAATTATGCTTTACTCCTTAAATTAAAGTTCGAGTCAAGCCTTCTCGATTACATGCAGATTGCCTTCGCGTCAGATACACGCAGGGATACGCGCGCGCACATGCAGCAGAGAGGTACGCAGTCTGCATATAACCAAAAATGCACGGCGCATATAACCAAAAATGCACGACCGTGCAATATACCATCTATTGAATATCATGTGACCAACAATCGTCCAATCAAATGACAAGGATCCACGTAGGTGTTGTATAACATCAAATAATTTATAATAAATATGAAATTGGTGGAATCATCTCTTTTCAAAATGTGGAATGTATTCAACATCATACAACCTGATTAATACTGCCACTTCATTTGAAGAAGAAAAAAATGTTCTGAAGAAGGTCAACCTGTTAGGCCTAAAAAAAAAAGATGTTGTATTGCCCTTTAGGTGCCAAAACGTGGGTTGGTCGGTCGGAAATCTTTTTTTTTATAAACTTTTTTTCTTCTTTTTTTTTTCCCTCTTTGGGCTGATATTTGAATGCTTTAATATTTTTTCCTCAAAAATGGTTTACAATTTTTTTTTTTTTAAAACAGCCGACCATAGATTTCAAGATTTTGGGGTCGGTCACAAAGGGCAATACATTTTTTTTTTTTATAGGCCTTGTAGAGAGTACCTTCTGTTCCTCCCAAGAAAAATAAGTTAATGAAGAACACTTACACTTCTTTTTTGTCTAAACACCTTCCTCAAAATCAAGATGGCCTTTCATATAAATCATCTTCTGTATAGCACTTTCAGACTTTTTGTAATGATTGAGAATTGTAAACATTAACAAGTCAAGCACACTAAAAATAAAGGCAGCATTTACAGAAGAGTCATAAATGTTAATCGAATTAACATGAATTATCATATTTGGTTGGTTTCCGCTGACTCGGAGTTAAACAAAAACTAATCACACAGTATTTTTCATTTTATATCATGAGTATTCATAACTATCTATCCTGATATAGTAAGCAAATAATCACCGTTGGTGAAGAAGATGGGACAAACTATCACTTCCGAGGCGATCTGGATGTAGCTATCTTTCCGAAGCGAAGCTGAGGAAAGATAGCGTATACATTCTGATCGACGAGGAAGTGATAGCTTGCCATCGCCCAAAACCAAAAGGTGATTATTTGCTTTATATTCCACATCTAAAACAATTTAACTACAAAAAGAAAAGGACGTGTATGCATTTACATAAAGACACCTAGGCCCAAATTCACACCAAAAAAGTTTAAGTTTAACCCGACCCCTTGAGGGTACGGTGCGCGCATGTGTTTTCTTTAATTGCGTTCAATGGTAATGCGCGCTTAATTACGCCCGTTTTAGTGCGCTTTTGGATAATCTTCGGTGAAAGTGCATTGCCCTGTGTAGATAGTACCTCTATCTTCAGTGAAAGTGCGTTGCACTGTGTTGATAGTAGTACTATCTACACAGTGTAACAAACTTTTTGCTTCTCCCATCAATAATGGGCGAACTATCTTTCATTACGTGATTTACTTTTGACCAATCGTAGAGCAAGATTCTTAGTATGTGGAATATAATACTAATTAAATTGACAAACCAAACATAGCAGTAATATAACAAAACACAGAAAGTCTTATTCTTACTTACAATGACTCAATAGTTTATCAAACATTTATATGCATTTCATGCTAAAACTTTAATACTTGACAATTGCAATAGACTATTTTCTCTTGAAAAGAATATATAAGCTTATTATAAAAAAGGAAATAAAATGTGAAAAAGAATGTCCAATATTTAAGATAGTATTCAACAGCTGCATTGCGTTGTACAATGAAGGTTTTTCTTAATCACCTACTCTGTAATTCTTTTTCAAAATTGATTTTGCCCAAAAACAAAATATATATCTTCTCTCTAAAAATATTGTTTTCCTTCTTTTTCACAGATCACTTGGAATCTAATTGTTTGATTTCAGACAAGACTATGCTTTGTTGGGATAATATATATTTTTACTGATCATCTCAACATTGATTTTCTTTGATTACAAAAGTACAAAACAAAGGAAAAATATATCTCTCTAAAAAATAGACTCTTCAATATATCACTTGTAATCGACCTAAAGTTACTTCAGAGAAGACTATCGTTTGCTTTGACAATTTATATTTTTACTACTTTATCTCCACATTGATTTTCTTTCATTACAAAAGTACAAAACAAAGGAAAATAGTATCTCTCTAAAAATATACTCTTTAATTAATATATCAATTGTAATCTTCCTAATGTAACTTCAGAATAGACCGTCCATGTTTCAGACAATGACATTTTTAACTATGATATCCAAGGTAGGTTTTGATTAAGCGCACTAACTTTAGTCCAGGGCTTACACCAGATTTAGTCCGGTGAGTGCCAAGTGTCATCCTCTTCATTCCTTTATTTCTTAATTACCAAGTGATTTAGTAGCCAGAAAAATGAACAAATAAAAATTGTGTTACCATGAAATCCAATTCCCTCTTTCATTTCAAGACTGTATTAATTTAATTTTCTCATTATGTTGCATAATTATGATGAAAAGCATAACGCTTGACTTGGCGCTCCATAAGTCAGTAAAGAAATCTAAACTCTGTTCAGCTTTAAGAGTCCACCTAAAGCACTCATATAATAAGGAGCCTTGAGCGTTTGCAACTTTTTAAAATGGTGACGTGAAAGTAGTTTAAATATAATACTACCTGAGTTCAATATGACATGATAAACTCTAACATACCGTACACTGAATGTTGTATGGGATTAAGTACACTATTTGAAGGATCGAGCCTTGAGCTTTTTGCACTTTCCAAAATGGTGATGTGAAAGTTGTCTGAATATAATACTATGAGTTCAAGATGACATGATAAACTCTCACACACACACTAAATGCTGTAAGGGATTAAGTACAAAATTTGAAATATTACTTATACAAAAATACTATTCCCCAAATCTTTGTAAAATATAGAATCCGAGTACATATGACGCATTAGTAGAAATAAACTAAATACATTGCAGACAATGGCAGTTTTGGAATTCTGTGTTATACCATAAAGATTGCTTGAGAGTCATTGCAATGAGAGTTATGTGAATACATGATGGGATCAGTATGGCCGGCGTCGCTTGTCAACTTTGGTCCATTTTCCGAAGGTTGACCTTTGACCTGTTCCTGAGATGATCCATGTGCTTTAAAGGGCAGTGTATTTGACATGGTTTTATGATGGTTGTCTAGCTTTCTGTGGAGCTCTCTCTGTGCCATTCTCAACACATAAACTGACAGAGCAAAACTGAAAAGTACCTGTGAAGAAACAGAAATTCAAAATAGCTCTTAAAGGTAAAGACCAGTTATGGTCATGCGATTGAATTGTGAAAGAAACGTTGTGGAATCGATCAGAAAAGGTTGATCATCTAGCATCTAGCATCTGCAAGGTTCTGGAATCATCAAAATGATAAGAAATTAGGCCCATTCTTCGTAAAGTTACAAGCACTATACACAGAAAGGTGTATATAGGACTACCCTATATTTCTCACAGACCATGAGAGAAACACATTTACCAAATATATGAATTAGTAGGCGGTTTCCCGGCAAATTTTTTATCATCATGTATTAGTCAAAACATATTCTTTCACATGATTGGTAATTAGAGCTTCCATTTCATTTTTTGAAATTGGGGCGTTTCCAATACTGGTCTTTACCTTTAATTCAGTATGGAAAAATTCATGTGTCAGCTACCACATATTAATTGGTGATACCGGTACATGTATATAGCTTTTGAAAGTACATGGTAAAATATCGATCTGAAGGGTTCCTGCATGGAAGTTAGAGTCCACAGCTGATGACAAAAGTCTGGGACTCCTTTGAATTAGACCCTTGAGCTATGATATCTTTGGTTTAATAATTATTCATACACTAGTACAAACATGAATTTCTTATTTACTAATTTTGACAATGAAAAAATAACATTTCTTTTGATTATTGATGTCTTGGACAATGTTAGTGCTTGATATTAGGTATTTTTCACAGTGATGTAGATTGTCCTAAGTGAACCATGAAGAGCAAGGAAGATGATTGTCCATGCCTTGATGTCTTGACCGTTTTTAGACGGACAGAGCTCTGTATAAGTAATTGCTTGAGTGATTGCTAATGTTTTACCTACCTGAGCCATCAGCAGCAAGGAAGATGATTGTTGGTTCTTGATGTCTTGGACGGAGCGTAGGGATGATCCCATGTAGGAATTGAGGAACTGAGTAGGAAGAAGGCCAAGGAACGATGCCAACATAAACGTCGATACACGCACATTGGACAGCTGTTGATGATAAAAGATGACATACATTTTAATCTCAAGTGTGGAAAATGTCCCACGCATTAGCATACATATAGTCGTTTGCCTATTTAGTAAAACTCAAGAGAATATTCAATATTGGCATAAATGGATGTTAATAATTACAGCTGACCTTGCAGAATATACATCAATGAACAGATATTTGTACAGGTATAACACACTCTAATTTTATCAGATTGATCAATACGAATCAACACGGTTGAATACACACCATGCCTGTGTCATTAATTAATGGCATCGTTTATTAAATCTGAGATGAATGGCCCTACGTGTTATCAGTGTCTGTAATATGGTGTAAAGCCCTAAAAGAATTGCTCTTCAAAATGATCATGAAGTGCCTTTAAAAAATAAAAATCTTTGAGTGACCGGTTTTACCATACTCACTTTCCCCAATTGACTGTAGTGTAATAAAAACCATTCAGAAAACAAAAAATGAAATTTTGATTTCCAATCATAAATACCTTGATAATCAGACAGCTGATCGATAGGCTTGTAAAAGTCATGGGATTCCTGACTGACCAAAAGGTTTATAATTATGATTGCAGCATGAGCTAAACCCAGGATTTTGTTTCAGAATCTGAGGTAATGGGGGTTACCGAGTCACTTTAAGTCATCCGTCACTATATGGGCACAGATTGGATATACATGTAGTCTGGACTAAAAAAGGATATGTGAACATCAAAATTTTACATCCGGACACAAAATTGGAAAGTCATAAAACGAATGGTTGAAACTTTAAATGTATGTGTATGAAAATTTTATTTCAGGTGTTAATAACTAGATGATATATTTGAACAGAGCAGACTTAATTAAATGTATAAAACAGTGGTTCAGTTTCCAAACAGTACTTACTGCAAAGACTCCATTCTGTATCCCGAAAGGTATAGGGGTCAGCCTAGTCAGAGCGATGACCTGAAATCCATGATCCCCTTCCACCACCCTAACAATCATCTCCAGCTTCTCATTCATCAGGTTCCGTCTGATCAGGGAGCTGAGCAACGTCCTACACACAAGCAACGCACACGAGGATCCAATGGCTACCGTCACTATGACAACAAATGTTCCAAAAGCGGGGCCAAAGCGGTAACCCGCGATGACGTTGACCAGGATGTAGCCCCAGGTCATGGGGAAGGAGAGGAAGATGAAGAGGACAAGGAAGAAGAGGAAACTCTCCGCATCACCGGAGTCAAGAAGCCATGATAATATAAGCTCAACCTGAGAATAACAGAAAGGAACATAAAGGTAAATGTGAATTTCTCTAAAAGAAAGACAAAAATTATAATTCATATGAAGTAGACTTTAATTGTCACTTGAAGTTGTGTATGAGTGAACAAAATATTTTTAGAATAGAGAAAGAAATGTACAAACAGAAAAGAGATAAATATACAAAAGATATTACAAAAGACAGAAAACATAAAAGAGAATGATACTGTATAGAGAAGAAAAATATGCATACAATAGAGATAAGATTTAAAGACAGGAGAAATATACAAAAAGAGAGAAATACCACAAGAGAAAGAAAGACAATGTGGGTAATGAGAAGCAGAAAAAGCATAATAAAAGTTTGAAAAGAGCATTTCAAAAGAAATGTGAAAATTGGGTCTGAGCAGAAAATTATGGACAGCATTTAAAATCTTTAATAATGATAAAAAACAAGAATTTATTATCAAGTAAAAAGGGGAGTACATTTCTTTACTAAATGGCTTAATTTGGGCAAACAGAGATAACCACACTGTACATAGTACATACAAAAATTATTAAAAACAATACCCTTTCTCATGATACAAATACTTAAATGAACAGTGAAAACAAAGAAAAAGGGAACTGTAAAACATGAGAACCTAAAATTTACCTTTTCCACATACTTAAACCAGGCTAACTCAATTAAGAAGGGTCTCTATTTCCTTTAGATATGTAATGAACACCAAGTTATACCTCACATTATCAAAACAAGAAATGGAATCCGATTTGTATTAATAATATCTATTATACATGTATACCTCTCTTTAGAAATCTAGCGATCTGATCGGTTGAAACTGCAGTTGTGATTTTAGCCATTCCTCTCATACCCCTAACCAGTTAATAGTCTTTTGAAAAGTGCCCTCATATCCGCCTACTAGTCAATAGTCTTTTTAAAGATGCCCGTTGCCCCGGGTAACAGGCCGCACAGATCAATTGTGCTCAGATCCCCATTGGTTTACGTGTTAAAATTTTCTTTGTGCCAGCGCGGACACCATACAGTGCTTTTTGTCTGCGATTCCCAAATGATTGCAACTTTCAGTCATTTTTCCAGCAAAGATAAACAAGACAGTTTTTCAGATTTTCTGTGACGTTAATTAACCAATCCTTACTCAATAAAAGGATAAGGTAAGAATTCTTGGTAGAATTTTGTTTCAATTCGGCATATAAAAGACATATCAACTGCTTTAATATTCGAGGTCTGGCTGACTCAGAGCAGTCGATATCTCTATACTATTCATACATGTAGTTCTGAGAAGAGACGCACATGTTGTGTTAGTAATTATGGATTAAAGTATGCACACCAGATGTTCAAATATTTGCTTCAGATTTTTAGGGTTATTAATGTTAGATCTCGTTCTACACATCCTGTAATAGAAGGTTGAGGTAGTTAGATATTTGTTCCCAGTACTGCATTAATTGGCTTAAAACATTAAAACAGACTAAAATAGTAACTACAGAAATAAAAATATATAAAGCTCATTTATAGTAAAGGGCCTATTTGGTTAAATACATTGTATAATAAAAAGTAAAATTTGTTTCCAAATGTAACAATTGTTAGCATAATTATTTGCACAATCAATCGTGAGAGGTTATTCCTGCCACTATTAAAGCAGTACTGGGAAATTCAATCAATCAATCATTAACCCTGTAAATGATCATCGGATCGGCCGCCGATACCGATCCGATCAGGGGTGATCGGGGAATAATTTCCGATCGCCGATCAATTAAAATGATCGGGAAAAAAATCAGCAATTTTTTTTTTTTTTTTTTTTTTTTAATGACAAAAATTTTCAAGTTTTTGGCTATCAAATGCTCAAAAAAAGTTCATGGCTGGGATTATTTTGTCATTTGGAGTTGTTGTAGACCATGATTGTTGATATTTAGTGCCTTTTCATAACTTTGAAATTAATAATATTGGTCTAAGAGCAGAGGCAAAACATGCGGGCCACCATCTTGGATTATAATGCATACCTACATTATAATTCAAGATGGCGGCCCGCATGTTTTGCCTCTGCTCTTAGACCAATATTATTAATTTCAAAGTCATGAAAAGGCACTAAATATCAACAAACATGGTCTACAACTACTCCAAATGACAAAATAATCCCAGCCATGAACTTTTTTGGAGCATTTGATAGCCAAAAACTTGAAAATTTCGTCATTTAAAAAAAAAAAAAAAAAAAAAAAAAATTGGCCGATTTTTTTTGTCGCTCTTCCGATCCGATACCGATCAAAGGTGCGAGGGTGTCGCTCCGATCTTCCGATCCGATCAGAGCCCCAACTTACAGGGTTATCAATCATTATTCCAAGTTTTGAAAAAAAACATACGTTAATATTCTTAGATTTTCAGGAAGAAGCAGTAAAAAATGAATAAAATAAAACCCTGAGATTTAATGTTACCTCTTGCTGGAAAAGAAGAAACGTTGAGAGTCCTATCAGTGAGATAGCGGAGTAAGCCGTCAACCTAGGACACACCTTGACACAGGGGAGCTTCCCCACCGCAGACGACAGACAAGACCCTTGACCCGACGTCCCTGCACTCACGACCAGCTCTTTAGAACAGCATGGCTGCAGCCTTGAGCAGCAGGCATGCAAGCCCCCGAAGTGGCATATATGTCCAGAGGTTGTAGAAGTGGTGGCCGCCGCAGACACCCCTCCCCCTGCGGACACACAGCTGTGGCAGCAACTCAAGGATTGGACGTTTGACGACGACATCGCCCCTAGACAGAGACACTTCAGAACCATGTTGCAGCTACTAATTGGTGCCGTACTGTTTGACAATGCAGCTAGTCTATTTCTAGCTGCTAGCTACTACAGTGACTTCTATTAAACCAATGTTATCAAGAAATATCACCACCCCTCCTTGTAGGTCACATGTCAACGCCACAATGTTCTTCTGCCGGACAATATAGATTATAGAGCGATCTCCTGAAAAGCGATAGCGTTATCTGGATTGTTATCTTAAAGCTTAAAACAATCAGGAAATGTTTACATTAACTGACACAAATGCCACATAGGGCATATGCTGGTGTGTTCATGCAGACTCAATGCAACGTTGTAACTGCAAATGTCAATACACCTCCAATATTATAGATTTCATGCTCAGCTGTGCAGCTAAAGAGCTGCATTTTTTAATGTTTGGGTGAAGTGACTCATCAATATTTAATCTCATCATTTTATTCACCACTCGTTCAAGATTCCCCTTTGGGTAATCTGGTGCAAAGTGCTCCCCTCAGCATAAACTGTAGACACTACACTTAAAAGATGAGATCTCCATCATCTGACATTCCAAATCAGTTATGATGAATATTGCTTTCAATCACAGCACGGCCATAAGATCCATGTCCAAGTCATACTTTACGCTGAGAGGAGATCCACATCTATAAAGAAAAAAAAAGAAAATGACATTGAAAACATATTTAACAAAAATTTACATGAACACACATCACCAGTACTGCACATCATACACATTATAACAATTATTAACCCGCCTGTAAGCCTATAATTACCGGATGGCTTAAGCTTGTTAGTTGTGGGTGAAAATGAAACTACTACAATTCAATGGGCAATGATGTTAGTTCAAGAAAAACACTTGAAAATATGAAAGAGGGTCAAAGGGCACTGCCATAGTCATGCTTTGTAAATGAATGTTTTAATATTGTCTCCATTCCCCGATTTGGTGTCCAGAAATCAATGATATGATCGAAAAGTAATATGACAAGTCATGACAAGTCATATTTTTTGTGCCCTGGAAGCTTTTGTAAGCTTGTCTGACATAGCAACAATCACTGTTTGCAAGGTGGATTTCATCCATAGAGATAGGGCCTACTATCTTAAATAAACATAAAAATAAATAGTTGATCAGTGGGGGTCAATCAAACTCATATATGTGTTTTGACTTCTGAGTCAATAACGCTAGACCAATCAATTCACTTTTCACACGGTGGCCTATCAGTATATATATTGTGCAGACTCCCTCTTGTTTTTTTGCGGCCAATATCAAGTTCTATATAACTTTGCAGGAATTATGACTATGTCACGCAAAATGAAATTTAAACGTTAGCAGTGTCTTAGAATTGAAATTATGCAAGGAAACCTGTTTACTTTCTAGACTTCACTCTCAGACACTATTTAGTGACTGACTGCCTTTTTTCTTTGGAAATAACATACATAAAATAGCTGTAAAGGGTACATGAGCATGATGAGCATTTGTCTACATCAGTAACACACTTCTTGTTATGGCCACAATTAAATTGATTGAATCGTTGAAAAAAAATGTACTACCATTCGGTACAAGGGTCTGAAAATCAGGCTATTTAATAAAAAGACTGCAATTGCTAAATTCGATTCAACAACTACAGTCGTTATTTTCCCACAAAAGACATTTTCAAGCCCCTTCGCTTTGAGGGAAGTTCTAAATTAGTATTGTCTTTCAAATGCCGTTGGAATATAACCTTTTATAACCTGCAAATGGGACATAGTACCTTTAATCACATTGCATGTATCATGAAGTAGGGGCAGCTACATGTAGTTCTAGGAGTTTCTTGTAAAGGGGGCAGGTACTCTATTAAAAAATAAGACACAATTGAGAGGACAATTTTTGTTTTGCATTTAAGCTATGACAATGGGTTTCAAAAGTGGGTGCACACTAGGCCAATAGGCTGTGCCTCAATACAAATTATTTCATACACCTCATTGTTAAGAATAATTGTATTTCAATAGTCAGAATACAAACTGCAGTGTTGTTAGGCAGGGTAAGCCACTAATTAAGCCATAATGTTTGTCCTACCTAGCAACTGCATACAATAGCAATAGCAATACTGTAATTACCATTCTGACTATACTATAGTATTGACAATTATTTGTAACAGGTGAATGCATTAATTTGCATTGAGGCATTAATTTGCATTGAGGCACTTCACAAGGTCAAGCATTAAACATACAATGTATAAAACTCTAGGCACATTACACACTAAGGTCCATGATCATGTGACACAATTACAGAAAGTACATTACTGTGAATATTTAAGGTCTACCTCATACTTTCAAGCAGAATAGCCTAGCTGTTAAAATTTTATAAAGATGATATTGAGTTTTGATTTAGGAGCCACATTTTTTTTTAGAAATATTGGCTTATAAAATTGATTCTGTATAGAGTAACATGCAGTAGATGGTTTGTTTGCATCACCAAAATAAGTTTTTTTTTTGTTTAAATGCTTAAAACCACATTCTGCGATACAACTGTCACACAGAGACCATACTGATATCAGGCAGTAGATTTGGGCCATGACTACCACATGACAGGACTATCAGTCTGATTTCCCCATCTATTTCCTTATTAAGGATAAAATCAAGGATATCATTCTAAGATAACATTGTACTCCAACACGTGTTTTCCTGTGAGAACGACTTCTGAATTTATGTAGGTGTTGTGTGGACTAGTCTAGAGTAGATCATAGGAAAGAGACTATATGAGCATTAAATACTTCTTTCACATCTTGAAAACTCCATATTTGCAGAAGACCCTGAAACAAATTACTTGATAACTGTCAGTCTGACCCTGCTGACATTGACTGTGGTGTGTTTTTAACATTAGTACAGAGAGCAGCACCTTTTGTTTTACATCGTACACATATAAAGTCCCAAAGAGTTGTGCACCTACAAGTATGACTATGACTCCTTTATCTTTTTTTTCCAATTTCTACCAAAATCACGTTAGTCACATATCATCAGTCTGGTATTGGTATTTAGAGAGCTGAATTACATGGCAGCCAAAGGGCTGAATTACATGGAGTTTACAAAGTAAAATGACCATCAACAATAATTGACTCACAAAAATAGAGAGAGAAAGGGAGAGATGAGACAGAAAGTAGAGAACAAGAAACAATTATATAGAGGCAGGAGTGTGACAGTATGGAGGAAAAAGAGGTTATAAATTACATCATAATAAGTGATTGAATTGATTGATTAAATAATACCGGTAATTAAATAATCATCTGAAGTTCTAAACAGTCATTATCACTTTCATAATTTGCATTGAGTCCATTAAGTGAATTAAGCCCATCACATTTATTTTAATATCCCATAATGAAGAAAGGAGAAAAGAGCTTTGGCTGGGAAGCCTGGGATCCAACTATTCTAATTTGTCATGATGCCATAAACAGCATTGCCATATGGCTCAATCAACTTCCCTATTCATTCACTCGTATAATATTCTGTATAAAACAAGAGAGCATTGTTCTTAAACAGCAAACAATGCTCTATCATGTTTATTATAATACTTAAAGTGACTCTGTAACATTGTCTCAGATTCTGAAACAAAATCCTGGATTTAGCTCATGCTGCAATAATAAGTATAATCCTGTAGGTCCGTCAGGAACCCCATGACTTTTACAAGCTGATCGCCTGTCTGATTATCAGGATATTCCTGAGTAGAAATAAAAATCAAATTTTCTGTTTTTCTAACGGTTTTTATAACACTACAGTCTATTGGGGAAATGAGTATGGTAAAACCGGTCACTCAAAGATTTTTACTTTTTTGAGGCACTTCACGATCATTTTGAAGTGCATTTTTTAGGGCTTCAATATTACACCATATCACAGACATTGATGACATGTCGGGCCATGCATCTCAGATTTAACAGTGTTAAACGATGCCTTTAACAAGGAAGTCCACCCTGATATCAAGTTGGTTTTAATAAAGGCAGTAAAATGAGAGAAACAGCTAGGTCAGTGAAAGTTTGAGCAAAAACTGATTAAAAGTCAGTTCTAAGGTTATGAAGTTTTAAAGTTAAAATCGGTGAAACACAAATTGGCAACACTGTGAGGTATCATGCGAGCTCCTCTCCAATATTTCTCTATATAGAAAGTTTCATAATATTTCATTTTAATAATAACAATAATATCAAATATTTAGGAGCGCTAAAAACAATACGGTAAGTACCATAGCGCTTTTTAATACAAATATATGAAAAGAGGAAAAAAATGTACAGTACAGGAAGTTAATCACAATTCACAAACATTGGGGAAAAAGTTAGTTATAATGACAGAAATAGATTTGTGACTCACCTATATATTTTGACTAAATCCATCTTAAATGTATCTTATCTGACTGAAGGTGTCACATAAAAATGTCAAAAATCTTTTTTAAAACCATTCCATTAAAATGTTTTGGCAATTATTTATTTGGAAATATAGAGCTCAAAATTCCAAAGCCTACAAACCTCACATGACACTATGCTAAATAACTTTGTTTGTGTAAATGTGTACAAGTATAATGAGTTTAATATAATTTATTAAAAAACTCATCAAAAATGTTAGCAGAGATTTATGTGTTCAGTAAATTAGAGATGAATTATGTTCATTTAGATTGATCCATGAATGATGAATCATCACAACCCTTAAACTGAGAAATCTGAAAGAATAGGTCTAGACTATATTCATCATCACCACTATACAAATTACAACTAACAACTCTTCATCCATAATACAAATCATCATCACATCATCCATTGCATTGTAATCAGAAACTCGTGCTCATGATGTTATTGAATAAAAAATGAATAGGTCTACACGAGTAGATGGTGATGATCTAGACTCTATAGACCTCTAGCCTCGACTCTAGATCTAGACTCTACTCTACTACAGACTTTGTACAGTCTCTACATTTTGGATATTTTCTCTAGATCTATCTAGATCTATTATTAATATTATGCCCATCATCAAGGTAGAATCTATACCAATTACTGTCCTATCATAAACCTAAACATTCTTTCATTTTTGTTAATGTATGTAGGTTTAAAAAAAAATCTTTTTAATCGACAGACCACAATTTATATTCACTTGACTGCCGAACAGTCACGAAGCGAAATGAGCTAAGGCATCCTTGCCTGCCTGCTCCAGCTTCATTCGCATCCACCCCGGCCGCGAATTTTTTTTCCGTACTCGAGAGAGCAAAAATCCCATGTGCGCATGCGCGTGGACTTATGATTTCTCTGCTACTTCCCATACGAAATGTACATGTATTTGCATGTACTGTGCACGATTCGCGTTCTACGAGTAAACGATGGCATAGTAGTCTTCAAACACAGACTCTGATTTGCCAGTTTGACAAATCAATATGCGTACGTGTCGCGATGTGCTTATTCAAGTCTGTGTAGTTGTATGATTCAGACCCAGTAGTGCATATGGAAATACATTGCAACTTGTATAGAATGGTATAGTAGTCTGCAAGCACAGACGCTAATCTGACAGTTTGACAACATACTAGTAGTGTGCTGAGAAGTACTTTATTCAAGTCGCCAACTTGTATAGAATGGTATAGTAGTCTGCAAGCACAGACGCTAATCTGACAGTTTGACAACATACTAGTAGTGTGCTGAGAAGTACTTTATTCAAGTCTGCGTAGATGTATGATTCAGACCCTACTGGTGCGTGCGTTAGAAATGCATCTCAATGTGTAGAGTGTAGTATAGTAGTCTGCAAGGACATAATAATATATTGTGTATTGATGAGTAGTGATTTTATGCAAGTTTGTGTAGTTTAATGATTCCAGACCCCATGGTAGGCCTATGTATTGTGCCACTGCTCTCTCACACTCTTTCTCTCTCTCTCTCTCTCTCTCCATATCTCTCTCTCTCTCTCTCTCTTTCTCTCTCTCTCTCTCTCTCTCTAGCCCTCCCTCCAGTATGCTCGCACTCTCTGTATTACTTTTATTTATAATCATGGTCTGCTGAGAGCCAGAAGGGCATTCGTTGTGTTAAGAGTTAACATCCTTCTGGCTCTCAGCAGACCATGATTATAAATAAAAGTAATACAGAGAGTGCGAGCATACTGGAGGGAGAGCTAGAGAGAGAGAAAGAGAGAGAGAGAGAGAGAGAGTGAGAGAGCAGTGGCACAACACAGAAAACTACGAAAACTTGAATAAAAGCACTACTCAATACACAATAGGCCTATATTATTCTGTCAAACTGTCAAAGGAGAGTCTGTGCTTGCATACTACTATGCCACTCTATAAGTTGAGGTGCATTTCCAATACACGCACCAGTAGGGTCTGAATCATAAAACTACTCAGACTTGAATAACACTATTTTGTCAAACTGTCAGATTAGCGTCTGTGCTTGCAGACTACTATGCCACTCTGCAAGTTGAGATGCCTTTCCAATACACGCACCAGTAGGGTCTGAATCATAAAACTACACATATTTGAATATAAAGCACTACTCAAGACACTATGTTGTCAAACTGTCCGATTAGCGTCTGTGCTTGCAGACTACTATACCATGCTATTCAATTTGGGATGCATTTCTGTAAGCACTAAAATGTCTGAATCATACAACTACTCAGACTTGAATACTAGTACTATTGTAGCCTTTTGACAAGGCCTCGTGACTCTAAGCGGCTGAGATGAGTCTAGATACCCGGAGTGAACGCGCGACCGAGTGACGGAACGTCACGAGGCCTTTTGAGAAGTGGGTTTCACTGCTCCGCATGAATTATTCATAGATACATATTAGCATGCCAATACGCCTACTTTGGATTTATTGACCAATCAGAACGGCGATCTCCCAGTTGGCTTCGTTCGTGATTCGTTCCATGTAGAGGTCAGTGGTCTTAGCACGTACGTAATAGTTCATAGCATGTAGGTCCATGTTCGCACTACGTAGAGTTTACTGTGTGTGTGTGTGTGTGTGTGTGATGGATACTATATGCTGACGTCGTGCGAGGATACGTTCGCTGATTGGACGCTCTATTTTCTGGAGCGAATTCCAGTCGGAAACAATGGTTAACATAAGAAATCCAAATCAGATTGATAAAGGCCACTAGGATGGGCTCCTCGCTCTCGCGTTCACTTGGGTTTTCGCGATTAGTCTCGTTTTAGTCGCTCGGCGTCTATCAGACAAGTGGCCTTGTTTAAAGGCTAGTACTATTGCTACGCACGATATATGCGTAATTGTTTTGTCAAACTGGCAAATCAGAGTCTGTGTTTGAAGACTACTATGCCATCGTTTACTCGTAGAACGCGAATCGTGCACAGTAGATGCGAATACATGTACATTTCGTATGGGAAGTAGCAGAGAAATCACAAGTCCACGCGCATGCGCACATGGGGTATTTGCCCTCTCGAGTACGGAAAAAAAATTCGCACCCCGGCCCATCGATGCGATGCATCCCACTCATCAAATCAAATCCTGGCACCTTTGGCAGACATCATCATGATCATGCATCGTCATTTTTAGGTCTAACTTAGATCTAAATCATCCAAATTAAGAAACAACAACAAATTAATAGGGTCTTGATATGTTTAAAAGTGGTCGAACATACCTCGCAACAGTGCACTTGGTACTTGGACGTGATGTATGATGTGTTCTTCTTGAGTTAACTTTGAAATAGGTTTGGCAGCTCATATTTGCCCAGGTACTTTGTTCCGCGCGCGCCATGCATGTGTGTAATGCTAGCTCGATCGAATGAGCTACGCGCGCGCGCGCGCCACGTATCGCGCGTTACGGTGTGAACTTTCAACCACTTCCGTAAACATTGTCGACTTTCGACTAGCACAGTAAAATACCGTATAGAGAGCCGGTATGTACATACGTATACCGTACCGGTATATGCCATTCCATATTTAACCCATTACTTCATCGCCTCTTGATCTGCATTGGCGAGCAGTTGCAAAATGGTGTGTAGTGCGAACGTGTCCTCCTTATTCTCTACCCACCTAGTTTGGTAAGTTTTTGTGTATGTTTTATCTAGATCTAGTCTCTAATTTACAAAGTATACTGCCTGGGTGAGAAGAGCTGAGATTAAGAATGTGAGATGGAACAGCTAGTGTCAGTGAGGAGATTATTCATGTTGATCGTTATCACACCGGCAGCAGCAACACGTAGCTAATGCATATTGATTGTATGTTATCTGAACATGAACAAATGAATAATCAGAAGTGTCAGAGACTCAGAGTCAAAGACAAAGAGACCGTCACAAAATAACTGGCAATGACTGGCAATTTAATCTTGTATCTATGTAGAAATAACTGTCTGGTATGGGTCATTCTGTAATCCGGGCTGTCAACGATCAACTTTTGGGAACTGCTTCGAGGGAGATGGTATGAAAATTTGTGGCTCAACAGGGAAGGGAGGGGGGGGGGGGGAATTGAGTAAAAAAAGAAATTAAAAAGTCGAAGTGCTCACTTTTATTTGCGTTATATTAGGTTACAATTGACTAATAATTGAGAGGGTTCATGTGTTTTCTTCTTCTCCTTTTCTTCTTCTTCTCTCGCTTCCTCTTCTTCTTCTTCCTCTTCCTCCTCCTCCTCCTCCTCCTCCTCCTCCTCCTCCTCCTCTTCTTCTTCTAAAATTAAAATGTGTTTGACATATTTTTTGACATTAAAATGCAGAGATAACATTTATTTTCACCTTTGAATTCATGTTTACCTGAAACTTATGTAGACTATGATCCTTTACATAATATAGACTATGTTTAATTTTACTGTTTTTTTATAAATAGATATCAGACTTGCCCATAAATCAGACTCAAAATGGACAATGTGGATGTGGAATCTGAGATTGGAGAGGAAGAGGAAGAGGAGGGTCCATGGATTAATCTTCCGGACCACGTCTTGGTTAACATCTTTTCTTTCCTAAACCTGAGTGACCGTTCTCAGGCTGCCTGTGCATGTAAAGCATGGAGTGAAACATTTGACACTCCGTCTCTGTGGCGGAGATTCAAGTTTCATTTCTTCAGCGAGTCTGACTCCTGCCAGCTAAAGTGCCTCGACCTCTACGGGAGCCAGCTCAGAAATGTCTGTGTGGTACTGAATCAAAAAGGAGAGGACAATCGCAGGAACGCTTGTGAGGTGATAAATCGTCTGGCCGAGAGCCCTGAACGCAGGCTCCAGGACATCACCATACAGTTCACAACGGACAACCCCCTCTTCTTCAAAGGAATGGAATTCATGAACAGTCTTGCACTGCTGTTTGGACCCCCTGCCCCTTCGGTGACTATGCACCACCAGCTACGTAAGATCGATCTGAGCCAATTGGCGATATCAATTAGTGATAGCACACTTGCTTTGATTGCAGATAATCACCCAAACCTTGAAGTCCTCAACATCCAGAATCAATCACTCACCAGTCACATCAGTACAGAGCACATGCTGAATCTTGTACGCAAATGTAGGAAGCTGCGTGAACTCAGTACTTTCTACAAATCTGTATCCGACGATGCCTTCAAGGCTTTTGCAGAGGCTGACCACACACCTCTGGAGTACCTGTCGCTTGCTTGTCGACGTGAGGAGAAGTACCACAAGCCCCTGTCGGCAGAAGCCTGGGACATACTTATTGCTTCTTCACCCAAACTCCGTGTTAGTTTACTCTTTGATCACACGATTGAGCGGCATCAGATCAGACACATCTTGCATCCTCAGATTCCGCTGACAGAGCTTGCCATGCGGACTATGTCGGAGCTCCATCATGAAGTGGGAATCGTGGCCACCTTCTACCCTCGCACTCTGGAGGTCTTCATAGTGGTGACCAAGGGTTCCGAGTCCTTCAAGACTGAGCTGATGAGGTTGGTGTCAGCGGCTCCTCATCTACGAGTCCTGCATTGCTTCTGTGGCTTGGACGAAGGCACCATAGCCAGGATCAAAGAGCTCTGTCCAAACCTGGAGGAGTCTACCTTGAAAACAGAAGATGACTTCAATGAGATGTCGAGGGTTTTCGTTGGTAGGGCTGCACGGAATACTGTCATGTCTGGCCGGTAAAAAGGGTTCATTAACATGAAGTATTTATCATATTCCCTTTTCCATATAAACAATAATGATGATTTATTGATTGATATCATATATTTTTCCTTTTACTCCATATACTTAATATAGGACCATTTATGTTATGTGGTTAACCATATGAGATTTTCTGTAATTCCACCCTAAATTTATGATTAACATTATCCCTCTGAACAACAATTAAGTTTTGATATAATCAAATATTTCATTTGCCTCATTATTTCATCAAGGAAACAACAGAACTTAATTAGATTTATATGTAGCTATATTAAACCTAAACTTCATTAAATGTCTGATATGCACTACATATCAACTTGAAAATACTCATTAATGAAATATCTATGTGTATCTAAAAATCTGATGTAAATAATTTTTAATGAAACATATTCTCTTCTTCCAAAGGGAAATAACAAGCTTCTTAAATTTGAATTTTTCTATTTCTTGTAAATTTCATTGATATTATAAAGTAATATTGGTTCCTGAGATCCATATTATCATGATGGTTGAAATACTTCACCCTCTCTCCGTCCCATTATTCATGCTGATCCCATTTTCAAAACTTGTATTTTTCTATTTGAACAGATGATTGGAGGAGTCTGTGGTGAGAGGAAGAGCTTCTGGACTGGAGGGTAGAAATTACTACACTTACATCATGTCTAGCCTTAGAAGCGAAGCAGGATGCAACATCTTCGGCAGATGTTTTATGAAGCCACTTGAGTGTAATCATGGTTATTCATTTTTTTTTTTCAGCCAGTAGACCAAAGGTGGCATTCTAAATAGAATCTTATCTTTTATTTTAGGGAGAGATATTTAATTGTTACAACAAAATGAACAAATGCAATTATAATGGGTGATTGATCATTGAATAAGGTACCTGGCGGATAGTGTGCCCACACTGATATTTCTACAGGCCAGCAACAATGAATTTATTTCAGTTCAAGCTTTGCATCCAATAAAAAATAAAATGAAAAGGCACAACTTACATTTGTTATGACAATTAAAATCCCTTCTCTAAGACCCCGTTCTCACTCACTTTGAAAGTGGTCTTAGTTAGACCACTCCAGAGGAACGGGTCTTGAGGAACGGTTTGCGAGCGTTCACACTCCGAGCAGTTTTTTATGGCTCAAATCGCTCCACGAGTCAAAGTGGTCTTGTTGCTATGGCAGCTCGGGTCAGCAGGTCAATTTTTTCGCGCGCGAAATACAAAACGTATGTACCGTACTACATGTTTCGCACGGAACGTCACTAGCTCTACGGTCAAAGTACGCTTCCGTTCACATTGCACGTTAGAGCGGTCCAAACCGCTCTTAATAAGACCCGTTCCTCAAGACCACCTCCCGAGGTGGTCTTCTGGAACAGTCCAGAAGTCCACTTCCTGGACCACTTTGACCGTTCTCACTCACCTAAGAACTGCTCCTGAGGAACGGGTCTTAGTTAGACCGCTCCAACGAAGTGAATGAGAACGGGGTCTTAAAGTCAAGATAAAAATAATTCTTCTGATTAGTTGTGCACTGTTAACCATTTATTCAGTTCAATGTTCTTCTTTAACCAAATGTCATGAGAGCTTGTCTGAGGCATGCCCTACTCAGCAACAACCATTCACAAAATATATTTTATCTGTGTAGATTTTGGATGGAACATGGATGATTCGTATTATGTTAAGAAGCAGTTTATTAAATTAGAATCAGAAGAAAATACTATATATTTATAATGAGTTGACCTTGATTGTAAACAAAGTCAGTGAATAAAAAAGTAATTTTATGCTGCTGCAAAATTTCTGAGGATGAAAGTGTTATTAAGTTTTTACTGGTATTCTTTGTTTTTTGCTACCTTTGTATTTGAATCACAGGGGTACCTATTAAGAACACTTGGTAACAGTATACCTTCGGTTACAAATTATTTCATTTAAATAATTGTATTTCAACAGTCAGAATGCAAATTGCATACATTAGTTATTGCTAGGTAGCTAGGGTAGGACAGACATTATGGCTTGCCCTACCTAACAACACATAATGTATGCAATTTGCATTCTGACTATTGAAATACAATTTTTTGAATGAAATGATTTGTAACGAGGCACTTAACAAATATTTATGCATTTAATAGATTTGATAACATTACAAAAATGGTCTATTTTAATGAATCCTGGAATACCAGGGTAAATGTTTTTTCAATCTAATCAAGGAACAAACCTATATTTTACAGATTTTCTCGTTCATTATTTTCCTTTTCTCACAAATATTTAGATTTACCCATGTTGATTAGTATCTTCAGTGAGCAATTTTAATTTCATTTCGTCCAAATGACTGATCAGGTTAGAATATTGTGTTGTATGCATGTATGCCAAAGCAAGTATCAGTACAGTATAAGAATTAATAGTATTGAAGAGATTTGCATTTTCTCTATTGCCTTGTTTACTTCTTTCATATTCGATATTTAGACAGTGACAGAAATTATTCTATTTTGCCATGGTGCCTTAATTTTGGCCAATTCTTTTGAGAAAATAATTTTTTTTCTTCAAAATTGTTTAATATGTTTTTTCTCTTTGCATGCCTCTTTTTATAAGAATTATGGTATGCAATGCATGTATTTAGCAGTGATTCATGTTGTTTGGACATCTGTTAATTTTGTTAATAC